CAAGTGGGCTACAGGGAGATTACTTATCCAAAACTCGGTGTAGACGCTGGTGATATGTTGAAAGATGCAGATTTAGATTAGTTCTTGGTTGGACGATAAGTATATTCGATATCACGAGGGTGTTAATTGGGTGTCAAGACTCAGCGATTGCCTTTGCTTCCAGCTTCACCGATTCGAGATTCACAGATAATTGGCCAGTCAGAGATGTTAACTTGCCACAAGGTGGTGGCTGGGTCTACTGATATTCAGAGCCAGCTCAGAGCCAATATAACTCATAATTCACCGCTCTATGAGATGTTGAAGACTGTCTCGTTTTTAGATGTAGAGTACTTGTTGATCCTGATGAAGGGAAGACGTCCGCAGGATGGCCTCGGCGGGATTGAGCACCGTGGTGGAGGAATGAGGTGGATTAACAATTAAGATCGTGACCAGTGATGACTATTGTGCCTGTACCGTTGGGTATCCAGTCTCGACTCGCTGTGCGACTCTGCCCAAGCCTGCAAAGAACTTTGGTGTTGGGGGAGGCTTGTCAAGGATGATCATGCTCAATAAGTGAGCTACAAGAGTCTCGATGATAGACATGGAAGTCTAGACCGCAAAGGGCCTGCCTTTGAAGCCGTTTATGTTCAGGGGTTGTAGACTCCTAGGCGAGACCTCCAGAGATCCAGTATAAGCATATCCCCGGCATTCTTGTGCAATAGAAATCACATCTCTGCTCTCAGTCAAATAGGCCAATGTCCAGTAGGTCTCTAGTCGTATAATATCATCTCCTTTCTCATACGCGCCTCTCCGACTTTCGCATATGTCTGAATAAAGTTGGCTTAATTGTCCGGTGTAGAATCAATCAAACTAGCCAGGTTTTAGAGTTCCTTCCGATACGCACCTTTGATGATATTAAAAATTCCATTATCTAATAGCTACAAATAATGAGAACAATGTGCTGGTAGGTAACAGCAGTAGACATTGTTCGGAAGGCACGTAACTATCCATTCATCCTGGATGCTCGTCAGCGGTCTTATAGCGGGAGGATTTACGGTGAAAACCGCAAAAGTCTGACCTGTGCATGGCTTTCCTGACCGTCAAGGATGATGAGTCTTTTATCTGACGTATCACGAGGCTCTGTTTGAGGTTGTTAGACGTCTTTCAACCACTCGAGAGCTATGTGGGATCTTTAATTCGTAATAGCGCGAACTATATAGACCGCCTAGCGACCACCAAGCCCTGTTGGGTATATAATGATTGTCCTTCAGTAGTCGCTGCTTCTACAGGGCGTCATGACCTTATGTGAGCCCACTCTGACAAGCCATGTGCTATCCGACCACAAGGTTGCGATAGACTAAGCGTCGACCTTAGCGGGGACTTCCTCCTCGTCATACTCCTCCACGCTATAGACGTCGTCGTCGATGGCTGCGTCCTGATACTGCTGGTACTCCGATACCAGGTCATTCATATTGGACTCAGCCTCCGTAAACTCCATCTCGTCCATGCCTTCTCCGGTATACCAGTGCAAGAAGGCCTTGCGGCGGAACATAGCGGTGAACTGCTCGCCAACGCGCTTAAAGATCTCTTGGATGGCGGTCGAGTTACCGACAAAAGTGGACGACATCTTCAACCCCTGCGGCGGGACAGAGCATAGACTCGTCTGCACGTTATTGGGAATCCATTCAACAAAGTAAGCCGAGTTCTTCTGCTGAATCTTGTGCATCTGGTCCTCCACCTCCTTCGCAGACACCTTTCCGCGAAAGATAGCAGAGCAGGTCAGGTAGCGGCCGTTTCGAAAATCAGAGCCTGTCATCATGTTCCTGGGGTCAAACAGCTGCTGGGTAAGCTCGGGGATAGAGACAGCACTGAATGAGTGCGAGCCACGGCTAGTGAGGGGTGCAAAGCCAACCATGAAGAAGTGTAGGCGGGGGAACGGAACCTAGACGAGGAGGAATGCTTAGCCACAACATTCTTCGATTACAGTGATATGTGCCTCGATGAAACGAGTCTTCCTACCAAATTAACGGCCATCTTGCGAAGGTCAGAGTTTAGCTGTCCGGGAAAGCGCAGCGAAGTTGACACGCCAGACATGACGGTTGATACGAGGTGGTTAAGGTCGCCATAGGAAGGATTCGACAGCTTCAGGGTACCTTTGCAGATATCATACAGAGCCTCGTTATCGATACAGAAAGTCGCATCTGAGTTTTCAACCAGCTGGTGGACCGACAGCGTGGCATTATACGGCTCCACGACGGTATCAGAAACCTTAGGAGACGGTACTACACTGAAGGTAGCCATCATACGGTCCGGAAACTCTAAATAGGCGGTTAGAACCGTGAGAGACAGTGCATCGAAATGTGTATCAGTGGTATCAATCTCACCCTCACGAATCTTGGAAATCAGCAGCGTGCCCATGCCGGAGCCCGTACCGCCACCGAGCGAGTGGGTGATTTGGAAACCTTGGAGGGAGTCGCAGCCTTCGGCCTCACGACGGACCACGTCCAGTACCTGATCAACTAACTCGGCGCCCTCGGTGTAGTGACCCTTAGCCCAGTTATTTCCGGCGCTTGAGTGTCCAAAGACAAAGTTGTCGGGACGAAAGAGCTGGCTAAGCGGGCCGGAGCGCACCGCATCCATTGTGCCAGGTTCTAGGTCAACGAGCACGGCACGTGGCACGTACTTGTTGCTGGATGTCTATGCGAACTCGATCAGAGGCCGAGGATAGTTTGGAATGGGTCACGCAATATCGCCCACCTCGTTGAAATAGACGTTCATGCGCGCAAGCTGTAGTTCGGAGGTCCCATTATACCTAGATTGATGCGTGAGAAGGATGAAGTGGCGTTTCGAATGGGTTGCCTACATGCCACTGCTATCCAAACCATGCTCGCCCGAAATGGTCTGCCAGAAGGCAGAGCCGATTTGGTTGCCCTATTGAGGTTACTATGCTGCATTAGGAAGAAATGAGAAAGAAATGTAACGAGAAGGGCGTGATACTCACACATTGGCCAGCTTGGAGATGCACCTATAGCGAAAAGGGAGTTCAAGGTTAGTTTGTGGAGCTTCCAAGGCAGGATTAGAAGCGGACTTACAATTTCACGCATAGTGAGCTCAATTCAGCAGTGGTGGTGGTTTTAAGCGCCGATGAGATAAATCTGTTCGTCGTGAGAGAACAAAAGACAACGTTGAAATGTTGGGAAGGCGGGGTTAGTGAAAGGCATGACGACTGGTCCGTAACAAATAAGTCGATAGCCATGACAGTATCCAATGAGATCATATACCGCCTTACGGGCTAACCCGTAGGCAGAGGGGTAACACGCCCCCGCTGTTGGATTGCAATGCTCAAAAATCCTCCATAAGCATATGTTGTTTATGAGCATACTGCCTTGAAATGCTAATGACGCCATAGAATGACGGCAAATTAATTAAGTGACTGTTCCAAAACTGTTGAGGAGGTGCAACCTCGTACCTCGAGTCCTGGCTTTAGATTATCACTACTTGATGTTTTTCTCGTACTCAGTCTAGTACCCATTCATACTTCTGGATCAGTCTTTAAGTAAGTAAATCATTTTTTGCTATAGAATAAATTGAACTGCCATTAGCGAGCATTCTTATAACAAATAGTACTGAACGTCTATTCTTCCCTATCTACGTCCAGGAGCTAGGCTACGTCACGATATCTGTGCCAACAGCAGTGTTACTTGCAGTAATCAGTGAACAGTCCCGATGAGACGATATTGGAGCGGGTGTTGGATGTCGATGGTCAGGGCTCAGTAACTAGTGGCCACCTTTCTGTTGCAAAATTTATTTAATTAAATCTAAAGGTTATCTTGCGATGGCACAAACGACATGCTCCTTGTTAGCGCTGTCAGCCGCCTCAATGATCATTCCCGCCACTGTAAGCAGCCTTCTAGAGCCCAGTCCTCAGGAATTGTGATACAATAAGCATCAGGAAGAACATTAATGTCGACATGTAGCTCTACAGCATCCTCGACAGCTCGGATCAGCATGGTAAAACCGAATCCATCCTTTGGCACTCACGCGGGACGGCCATCATGCTTCTTATCCTGTACGCCCTGTATCTGTGCTTCCAGTTGCGGACGCACAAGAATCTATTCAGCGAGGGGAGTGGTGGAACTTCCTCCCTTGACGAGGGAGGGGACGACCCTGAATCAGTAATGAATCCTTGGTCTGCTGCAGCGGTACTGGTTGCCGTGACCGTTGTTATCTCCTTCTGTGCAGTCTACCTGGTTGGCAGTATCGACAGCATCGCCAAAGACGCGCATACTAGCAAGAGCTTTATTGGCTTGATCCTGATCCCCATTATCGGCAACGCAGCCGAGCACGCCACGGCGTGTGTGATGGCTATAAGGAATAAGATGGATTTGGTGAGTGGCAACCTGCTTCCTTACTTGGTTGTTTTATTGTGATCTGACTGGTTACGTGGAAACAAGGCCACGGGTGTTGCAATCGGATCCAGCATCCAGATTGCGCTGCTGGTTACGCCGTTGCTGGTTGTCTTGGGTTGGGCAATAAATGTGCCGATGGGTCTGAATTTCAATATTTGTGAGTTATCATGAGCACATAAGCAACTTTCAACACGCTTGCTGATGCTTGGGGCAGTTGAGACAGTTATCTTCGCTGTATCTGTTTTAGTCGTGACGGCCACGGTGCAGGATGGGAAATCTAACTATTTGGAGGGAGCCATGGTGAGTTTATGTTCCCCTGTACTTCTATACCTACAGTGTACTAAGCAGGCTGCAGCTTGTGGGACTCTATATTATCATCGCTTTGACATTCTGGGCTATCCCTACTGGAGTTTTGGGAAAAGTTACGGGCTAATTGCCAGGTTGCCATTATTATGCCCTGTGCAACTCTTTTTGGCTATCTATACCTTGTTGGTCGATCTATCGGGGAGTGCGGGAGACATCCATGGGCTTCGCGAGGACTCAGTCGGCGGCTAAGGCCAGGAGGATCTGACCGACCACTTATAGGAAATTGGAGGTTAACCTCTATGCAAAGCGGGAGAACTTGCTCATCATATTCGATGACCTCATTTCAACCTACCACTGTAAATTAGGACGAATTGTGTCGGCTACTTCTTGCAAAACGTCCAGACAATCTCAACCAGACTGCTTCTCGTCCTCTTTTCATCAAAGACCTGGCCGTGGTCCAGATCTTGAAACCAGATCACATCCAATCTATCACCTTTCTGACCGAGATCCATTAAGTCCGTAGTTTCTAAGATCCAATTGTCTGACCCCAGCAAATATGCCCGTATTGCTTTGGTGTCGATCACACTATCTCTGCCGGCCAAGACCACAGTCACGGGATGATCTCGGATATCCTCCTTCCACAATAAGTTATCAGCCCAGAAGAAACGGCGGAATAGCGTATGAGCTATGCCTATATCCTTGGAACCAAAGTAGGAGAGTAGATACTCATTAGGTTGACTTGGCCGTCTACATATCTAAAGCATTAGAGTTTAGCCAGTATCATCAGTCAATTTGGGGACAGAGCTGGCATACAAAATTATAGGCCACGTCAGGTAGATGAAGTAGAAAAGACACGGGGTCAATAAACAATGCAGGGCCAATATGCTGCGAGACCTCCGGGCTACGAAGGAGTTGCGCGCCAACCACGCTTCCGTATCTTTCCACCGTCAATGTCAATGGGTAAGGGAATGGAGTCACTTTAGGAGTGGTACTTACGAATGTGATACCAAGACACACTTTTCCCACCCGTGTGCGGTCAATATGCGCCGAATCTCATCGCACATTTCGTCTTTCAGCATTGCCTCGTATGTTATCCTAGAGCTTACCGACATAATTTCTATAGCGATGATGCCAACCTGCCCATCTGAAGAATTCCCGGCATCATGGGCATTGATGTCGGCTAAGAAGTTTATGTATGGGTAAAGCCCCACGCCGATGCCGTGAACGAATAGAATAGGCAGCCTTGTCTTGGACGTATGTGGACGGTGCCAGTAAGTAAGCCTGTTAGCATGGGAGGTGCAGGTCGCAAACAGAGTGAAAAGACGTAGGGGAAAGGTAGTGAGAAACTGCGAAAACGACGTGCGATGAAAGTTGAACGAGTGGTATCGTAAAGAGATAGACGCTATGGTGTCGACAACAAACACACACTAGAGGGTAGTACGAACAGAGTTAGCAACCTGGGGTATATGAGCCAGTACTTGGGCGCATAGTCATGTGAGTAACTTACTAGATACCACGTTAAGCTCCGATGCAACATCTCTACCTTCTCAAGAGTTAACCGGAGGCATTTGGCGTTTCCGCGGCCAGGCTCTAGCTTCTTGCCTAGCAGCTTCTCTATCTCTTGAGTATACTCTTCTAATTCCTCGTCGTAGGTCTAGTCATGGTCTCCTGTGTTCAAGAATGCCCACCGGAAGAAGTCCTTGACATTATCGCGCTTAATCTCGGAAACTGGCGCATTCCGGAACCATTTTCTTAGGTACTGAGCCGGGTCGGGAATATTATTGTGGCATTTTAGGAACAACTTCCGACGATCGGCGCGGCAGGGCGGGACGGGGTGTTTTGCGGCCCTCTGGAGGTATTTGTTCAGCGGTAGGTAGACAACCAAATAGAAAAGAGCCTCCAGAGAGAGCCAAGCCTGTAGTACTCGCGGGAACTGAAATGGAAGGCGGGCTAGCAGGCTGACTAATGAATAAGCAACGCTGAGTGGTGCGATAATGTGTAAGAGAAATATGGATGCGCGAATGAAGATGTAGTCCCAGAGAGATGTTCCCGCCATGGTAGCGGAGATATATCGTTAGGCAGCGTCACAGGGAAAATGTTCTAGCTTAGGCGGTCATTGTTTCTATGGAGTGTAGAATTGTGATTCTTATAAGTCGATTTGTTGGGACCTTGCACTTGACGTTACCCCACTTACAAATGCCTTGTTTAAGCACGTGCTAAACCTAGCATGTGAAAGAGATGATGAGTTTTCCGAGGACGCAGTAGCATTATCTAACTATTCTGGCTTGATCCTGACCACGGCGTGTCATCACGATAAAGAATTATCTGAGGCTGCGATGCAAGTATATCCGTATTGCGTACGTAAGTTACGAAAAGCAATCTGGGGGTTTAAGCTGAGCCATCTCTCGGGGTATACTTGGAAGCGGGTAGAAGCTTGATCATTTATTTGCAACTGTTCATATCCCAACCCCAAGATCTGACGTGTGTTAGACTAGGTGTCTAAGAAGCAGTGTAAGTTTTATTTCAACTTTAAGCATTTCTTAAATTTCTAACCCAGGTTCCTGGCATTATTGGCAAGATGTCTCTGCTATGCATTCGAGCAGTCGGGCGGCAGGGCGTGGAGAACTACTTGGATTTTCGACACATCGTTTTGAAACAGAGGGCATCAGGTGATAAAGCATAAAGGAACTTGAATCTAGGATTGATTCTACGCCGGTTATGCGATCATTTACTATACGAGTGATAGTACAGCTCCCTCCATCTTGTCTCGGTGAATATATTTGAGTGCCTTGTTGATGGCCCTCCATCGGTAATGACTGTCATCATCTCTCGGAAGAACGAGACACTGAGTTGGAGCTTGGAAACATAGCCAAAGCTAGTATATTTGTAACATATAGTAGCTATGTCGTTTGTAAACATTATGACTTTGTGTAAGTTGTAGATTTTCTATTGCGATGAAAGTGCGCTAGGGTTCTCGGCATATTGAACCCTCTCATGTAACAGATGGGTATCCTCTGATGCTATTAAGTTTCTGTTTCCTAACCAGGCGGGTCGGCTACCTAAGCCATGGCGGCCCACATCTAGAAGCTATGTTCCTGCTTTGTTTCACGACGCTCGTTCTCTCGCTGGGCTTCCGTCTCTTGTTGAAGGTGACTTTGGGCAGTAAGCTTCAGCTCGCCAGTCTTCTCCTCAGCTAATAAATACTGATCGGTACTTTCATCGAGATTGCTAGAGCCTGATACTGAACATGTAGGGATCGATATATCCCGTCGAATGGGGTGTTCGCTACCAGTTGCGACAGTCCCGATATCAGAAGATCTCTAAGCTTGCATGAGGGGAAAAATCGCCCGAATCGAAATACTTCATCCTCTTCCATTGAATATTGAGTCAGCTTGATTCTTACTGGTTATAGACAGAATATATCTACTAACTTCTAACTGGTGATGAAGAAGCTTCCCTCTGCTAGGAACTATTCCATATCGATTTAAGAGACGGTTGTTGTTCCCTGTATTGAGCTCGGAGGTTTCTTGCTGGTCCATGATAATAATTTGGAACTATGGATAAGTGAGTGATTGAAAAAGGGAACAGGTTGAGGTGTATTTAATTGTCGGTTCCTATTGGCATAGTAATCCTCAAAAACATTTCGTTGAAAATAGAGGGGTCGGTGTTAGACCCAGTATTTGAGAGCAGGTGACGTAGTACGGGCATCAAGGCATGTGTCAACTACGTACGTACCATGTGTCCTATTGTGGGGTGCTAGCTCCTTTCGCACCGTTATCACCATCATCCTGATGTCAACCTACTTTATCGTCTCTTTATACTATAAGCCACATGCTAGTACGGTTCTCCGGGGGTACAGTGCTCGGGATTCAAAGATCTTCGGGTTTGCCGAAGCTTATGCTCGATTAAAGAGTTGATCTGGCTCTAATTAATAATGCGTTAATTGTTGTTCACATTGCGCATCAGTGGTAAATGGAACATTTATATTTATTCAACTTTTATTAAATCCTGAGATGACTGTTCTTCTTGAGTTCATATCTCTAAATGATTTCATCCTGGACTCTAAACGCTTGAATTTAGGATTTTCAGACAGATAGTCTGGATTCTAAGGAAAGAGGGAGTCTTGGATCTCCCAATACTAATTTCAACGAGATTTTGTGATTTTTTAAGGTATAATATGAATATGTGAAGACGAAAAAGCTTCCTTAAGAGTTTTTGTCGCTTAACGTTTGCGCTTCAATCCCACGGTAACGCCAGCAGAAACTTGAATAATGCCATCTGATGCGACTGGAATCTGTAAAGACACTGGAAGTGATAAATCTGGGGGTGAAGATATCAATGTCTCAGGGAATGCGCTCACTTGTGAATCAACACAACGCACTCTCTGACCTCCCGAATGCTTGCTTGCAAGGTCAACCTGCTTGAGAGATATTTTAGTAGATAATCTCTTGTCAAGTCGTACTGTCTCGTTGAGTGTATTTTTAATCCTGTACTGAGCTCTTGTAAATGTATCGAAATCTGACATGGTCGACATGCCATCACCAGAAGTCAACACGGCTACCCCATGGCTGATGTAGGAGCTGTGTTCATGGGGTCGAGTATGCTTAATGGCCCTTTCTGAAAATGAGGAAAATGCAGCAGGACAAGTAGATTCCAAGGCTTTGTCGGACGCCAGAAGTTGGTCTTTCGCTGGAAGGCGGCCAAGCTCCATCGACGACGACACCAAGGTCTGTCTCCCGGAGCCGACCGCCTCATTCGTTTTGTGGCGCTTGCACCGTCTTTTCGGTAAAGGAGAAGTGGAAAAAGCGTGAGTGGCGGCAAGGGCTGAATCTTGGCATGGCGGATGCCAAATGTGGTCGGTGGGGAGGTAAGAAGCGAAGTATCGGACGAGGGAGTCCAAAGAGTTTGTTTGGAAGAGCCGGACTGCATGTTCCCACTGAGGCATCTTGATAAGCTTTGGGTTTCCAATGATTTCAAGACTTGCGGATTCAAGAGATTTATTTAATTCGGAGAGACGTTGTTGTCTGCGATAGTTAGCTAAATAGTGAAATTCGGCTGTCGACTGCGCTTTGTAAGATATTTCGGCTATGTCACAATAAAAAGCTTCAGCATCTTGGATGGGGATCGTGTAGGTATTGTACTGGTCGTGGAGCTTGGTAAACAAATCCTCTTGTTTCATGCCGAATTTCCAGGCTGGCCATGTCCATAACGGGTCGTCCATTTTATCGATATAATCCCCTTTAGACTGATTATAATTGCGGTAGATCGAAGTTGGTGATAATTAGAAATTAGAAGTGGAATAGCAGAGGAGATGCACGCTTGGCTTTAGACGCGGATATCTCGAGGGCCCTGTATTTTGTAGCAAGCCAGCACTAGCCCTAGTGGAAGAAAAAAAAGTTTTATCGCTTGACATCTCAAAGGAAGGGGGGGGTGTCGCTATAGTTGTCTCAGAGGGGTAGCATGGAGACTTACATAATAAATATGTCAGGGAGAGTAAGCATGGAAGGACAGTGGTGTATATTCTTATGGTCTGGAGCGATCGATTGCAACCTGACATCAGAGGGTTGCATCCTGCTCCTCCTCTATTGCAAAACTACGTCACTGGTGGCAACATACAAGGTCAGTATCACCTGGAACCTGCTTCTTTAGTACGCACCGGCCGAGCGAAAATTACATAAGCCATGTATTTTGTGACGCTTAGTTAAATAATGTACGGTAGATACGTCTCCACTTCATATTGAACTGGTTAATGGCATGACATGTGGTGTTATCAGCTGTTCCGCTCATAACCGAAACCAAGGAGAAATCACTTCACAATAGTGAATAGGCTACAAACCGGCACTACACAGTTGGAAGTCCTTGCCTCACCGAAGGGATAGGTATAATTACATATTTTGTTGCTTTGGAAATGATACGATGCGAACTAAATGACCATCTGCACCACGACTTCACATTGTGTTCACTCTCACAAGCCATAATGCCTTCCAAGCGCCACGAGCCATCCTCTGGTAGTTCACAGAGCGCCGAAAAGGGACGTATCAGTATTCATGAGCACGATAAACGTCCACATGAACCAGCTCCTCGCCTTTCCCACCTGGAACACCTGACAGTCCGTGTCTCCGATAACTCGATTCGAAGTCTTGCCGGAGCCACCAGTGCGATAGCCTCTAGCATCGTAACAAGTCCTCTGGACGTTATGAAAATCAAACTACAAGGAAGAGGTGGACTCCAACTGTGGACGCTTGACCCTGTCAGAAAGCGACGTTCATTCCAAGAGAGAGGTCTCATAGGCACTGGGCGAGCAATATGGCATGAAGGCGGATTTATTGGCATGTACCAAGGACTCGGACCGACCATGCTAGCAAATATTCCTAGGGGGGCCATATATTTCACAGTATATCATAAGATTAATGATTCGCTAAAGAAAGTATTCAGTAAGTCACCTTTGTTATCCATTCTATCAAAACTATCGCGGGTAGTACTAACCTCTGCCAAACGGCCAACAACAGACCTGGGTATGCTCAAGCATATCTGCAGTTACTGGAGGTACCTTTTCTATATTATTCACGAATCCATTATGGGTTATCAAAACCAGACTCATATCTCAGTCAAGTAAATCCACGAAGAATACTCCGAGAGAATACAAGTCTGCCATAGACGTAGCTCAGAAGATGTATTGCCGAGAAGGCGCCGCTTCATTCTATTCAGGACTAACTCCAGCTCTGCTTGGGGTGACACACTTAGCCGTACAGTTTCCATTATATGAGCAGTTTAAGATATACTTGACTGGATCAGGGCTTGGGAATTGGCATGAAGGCCAGGAATGGCTCCAGATCCTAGGGGTACTCACAGCTAGCGTGGCAAGCAAAGCGTGTGCAACTATAGCCACATATCCACACGAAGTTGTTCGAACAAGATTACAAACGCAGCAGAAAGTATACCCTTCATCGCCAATTGAACACGCAAGAGCAAGGGATGGCGGAGGCCTATTGATGCGTGGGAGTAGCTCACAAAGCGAAAAGGTGTGCAATGCAGGGAAAATATGGGAGAGATTTCCCCGACTAAATCGGGGTATTATGAGCACGCTCGAAACGATCTTGCGGGAAGAAGGCTGGCGTGCCTTATACTCTGGTATGGGCACTAGCTTAATCGGGGCTATACCAGCCTCTGCTATGACAATGCTGGTGTATGAGGTAGTGGTGTGGCAGGTTAAGAAGTCAAGGACGCAGGGCAAAGGAAAGCTCGAAATGCAGGATATAACAGAAACTTGGTGTCTATAGCCCGTATAACTTTCCAGCATATCGTCGGCACAAAGGGCGGATACTATCGAGAATAACTATAATTAAACAACGACTATGCCTAGGCAGGTCTTACACAACCCATACAATCTCAAATCTCGTTATTAAAGACTGGGGGTGGGGGCAGAGTCGTGTAGGCTATACGGGGGAAAATATGTAATCTTAAGATGGACTGAAAAGTAGGATTGAGAGTATTTATTTATTATTTAAGTTAATTAACTCATATCTATTGAGAGCTGCGGAACTGCTGCTAGTTTGAAACTTAGATGACTGTCTTTGATATCGTTAAAAGTGACTGGGGGTGTAAAGCCGGAGCAATGATTGGTGAGTCCTAATCGGTTGTCGTTGGTCCGTACATTTCTGTGCATCCAGGCCGTGGTCAATAGCGGACAGGTCCTGTCCCAGATTTCACATTTAGTATGGCTCCCTCCGCTATCGGTTTACTAGGGCAATCAATGATTGCGGGACTGGCACCATTGGAAGGGGAATGGGAAACAGAGCTTGGAGTATGAAGGGTGTGGGGTTCATGTTTAGAAGTACGTCACGCGCACTGGCTGCTGATCGTGTCGCGCTGACAGTCTTGCGACGATTGCAATAATATGGACGCAGCTCAAACTCAAAGTTCGACACCATTTCCTGCTCACTGCTTACATGTAAGCAATAGCAAGTTACTGAAACCTGGGAGGACAGCTACCATCCCTTTCATAGTTCTATCACTATGACTAAACGAATACCGCCTAGGCAGGATACATCGGTTAGCTGAGCATAACAAGATTTAGAGCCGTAAATAATTATAGAAATATTATAGAAATATTAACGTGGTTGATAAGCGAGTGTCCCAGACAAGCAAGTGTCCCAGACAAGCAAGTGTCCCAGACAAGCAAGTGTCCCAGTCTTATTTCCACTTTAAATTAAGTTTTTAAAAAACTCTTTAAAATTCCAAACTAAGCCTAAAATAGCTATAATTCTAATAGCTTATATAACGTAGACGATAAGCATGCCGATCAGACAAGCATGCCGATCAAAAATCTCAACCTTCTTTAAATAAATCGCAATAAAAACACCACAAACCATCTAATCAATTGATTCTAGTTACTATACTCATCTCCAGAGGCCTGAATACCCTCCTGACAGGTTCTTGCATTATGTCCGGTCTTGCCGCAAGTCCCGCATCGCCGAACCCTCGGTCGCGCCGAACTTCCTTGACCACCACTTCTAGATGATTCAGCCATTACCTGCATATCTACATCCATCTGATCAATTAGATCCTGACCTTCCTGTATAGTCATACTCCCTCTATTCTGCAGGCGGGTCCTTTTTGCCCTGCGCCGTCGACTAAGTATCTCATTTGCCTGTCGAAGCTCTCGGTTCTCAGCCCTTAATAAGGCAGTCTCATGCATATTTCTCTTTACTGCCTTAGTAAGAGACTGAAGAGCTTCAAGAATTGACTCTGGGGAGCTACTGTGATGTCTTCTGATACGTCTCTGAAGGTATTCAGACTGAGATCCAGCCTCAAGAACTGTTCTTGGGGTTCTTGAAGTCCAAGATGGAGCTTGTTGGGCCACCTCCTCAACAGGCGTTGGAGTCCGTAGCTGCACATCAAGCTTTGAGATTACATATTCTGGGTTAAAAGGAGCAAGACCAGCTCCTTTAAAACCTCCCTTAATGTTTTCCTTAGTCATAGCAACTTGAAAAGCAGTATAAAAGGCTAGGAAGAACTCGGTCTTGGAAATATGGGTTATAGACCTTCTGATCAGTTGCTCTATTTCTCGACCATATGCCTTTTTCAGCAGCCCAAAGCACCCGACGTCAAGGGGCTGAAGCAGGTGAGAAGAATGAGGTGGCATACAGAGCGTGATGATATTGTTCTCCTCACAATATATCTGGAAGTCGGCTGAATGGTGACTTTCATGGCCATCGAGGATCAGAAGACGATAGGGACCAGTTGATCGGTTAGTTGTACATCGATCAAAGTGCTTTAGCCACTCAAGGCCCGTCTCATTATCTGTCCAGCCATTTTGGGTTGTAGCAATAGCCCAAGTGGCCGGGAGGTTGCTTTCTCGGTACCAATTGGCAAGGTGAAATTGGCCTGCAACCACGATAAATGGATCGATTGCCTGACCTTCTGCATTGATCGCTTGAATTGCTGTAACCCATTCCCGGTTTCCAGGCTGGACTGATTTTGGCCTTCCACGCCTTTCCGAGCTGGTAATAACTATACCGCTTGATATCACGCCCATCATAAAGCCAGTCTCATCAAAGTTCCAGATATCATCTGATCGGATGCCGTACTTTGCAATTGTGTTCTTTACGAGCCTAAACCAATTGCGAATAGCGATTGGATCTTCGCATTTGGCCCTCTGATAGTCATATCTCCTCTGAAAACGCGTCTTAAGGTCTGGTTGCCGCTTAATAAAATTGATAGCCCAGCGCTTGCCAACTGGTGACGCATTGCGGTCAGCAAGCAGTCGATTGGCCATTTCTTCAACATCACGGTGCCGGGAAGGAAATCATCGTAAATCTAGGTCAAGGATATACTGGACTATAACCTGTTCCTCCAGATCACTCAGTTTCCGCGACTTTGGAACCCAATCGCAACGTGCAGAGATACCGTTATGTCGGGCATGGAGGGTTGAGAAGTTAACATCATAGACCTTTGCAGCTCGTCGCAGACTTAATTTTGGGTCTGCCTGATAAGCCTGAAGTGCAAGAAGGATTTGAGCCTCTTTATTAGATTGAGACATATTATTTGGTTGAGAATCAATTGATCAGATAGTTAGATGTAAGGTTGAGGGATTTTTGATCGGCATGCTTGTCTGATCGGCATGCTTATCGTGTACGTTAAGTCTTAAAATAAGCTATCCCTTTGAGCGGTACAGCCCTTCAGCGGGGTCACGACAGGGGTATAGGACCAATCAAACTGAATAAAACTAACGGTACTTCTCCATACATACTAATTTATATGATGGTAAAAGTCCCAGCAGTTTTGATTATTACAAAGAGCTACCTCACAAACTCGGCAGCCGTACCAGGTCTGCCTACCTAAGCCTCCTCGATGCCGACTTCGTGTATTAGCTGTTATCGGCTGTAAGAGAGTATTTTTAACCTTCCTTTTTTTAAAAGGTCGGGGCTGCCCCTGCCTAAAGCCTTTACAAGCAAGGCAATCTGAGAATATCCCCCTGTTGACATGATTGATATCTCTTTGCAGGTGATTTTGCCGTGACTGGGTATTGTTTATATCCTCCTCTTTCCCTGCCCGAGATCTCTTCCTTGCGCCGCTTTCTTGGGCAAATTTAATGAATAGTATATCAGAAATGCACCTCTTCCAGCTCTCGAGGGTCTTGTAAGGCGGCCACCGCGGCTGTAAGGTCTTAAGCTGCAAAATGAAGCTATTCGCAAGTAATACATCAAGAAGGAAGGACCAAAGGAGAGCCTGCCACGGGCCACGGCAAAATCGGTGCTCATAACTCATATAAGACCTTATCTGATCTCCTCGGTCTACATGATTCATTTCATCATTATAAGAAGCAGATACAGTCAGTATAAGAATAACCTTTATTACGGCATCACTAAAGGTCTCCTATATCAGCTTAGATTGTACCCCTTTATTGGCAGGCTTCTTCCTTCTCTTTGGGGTGCATTGGTCATCGGCACCGCTGTATACAGTAGAGAGAAATAACACGAGGCTATTATCCTTCCAAGCGATTTGAGCGACCTAGGAAGGACGAATTAGTAAGGGAAATACATATAAATAAGTCCCTCAGGCATACGAGGCCATCAATTATAGGGATTAACTTTACTTCATTATACTCAAAGCCTGAGGCACCTGCCTTATCCTTCCCTTTTGCAAGCTTAAGCTCCTTGGTAATGCCACAGTTAGGGCAGGCTATACCTGTAGCCCTGTGACCGGCTTCTCGAAGGGCACGGAAGAGATTAGGCAAGGAGAAGAGGTTATCCATAAAGACGTGATATATCTGCTTTAGCAGCATATTAACTAGGTAAATAACGACTCCTACTGTATTACTAAGGGTCACAGTCTCCTTAGGCTTTCCCTTCCCCTTCTTCCCCTGTTGCAGCTTAGCAGCCGGCTTCTTCTTTGGCAGTTCAACGATAATAGCGGTATATGGTGATGCCTTTACATGCCACAGCCACCGGATAAAGAGGCCGTTTTGGGCAATAACCCAGACTTTGAACCCTACAGGCGTAGGCTTATTCTTGACTAGGGTTATATCCTTACTCCTGCCTATAAAAGGGACCATACACTCATCCACAGTGACGTTATTCCCTGGTAAATAGAGCTGGGCTAACACCTTCTATATCAGGTCAGACCACAGCTCAGCAGCTTAGAATGCCTTCAGAAGGTCCTCTTCATTACGTAGGTCAAGCAGGGTATAATCAAAAGTCCATATATAGCGTGAGATTATCTCAAACCTCCATAGAGGCATAAACTTGATGACTGAATACAGGGGGGACTGAACACCTAGGGAAGGGGAGCTCCAATAGCTCTTAATCATATTTTCCTTATGAATTCCTAGGTAAATCAGTAACCCAAGCCATACATACACTTGCGCAACCGAGAGCCCATCCCACTTATTAATCCGCAAGTGGTCGGAAATAGCCGTATTATAGCTATCAATAACGCCATTTTATATAAGATAAGAGACCCAGCTTTCACTATAGTAGACCCATAACTGTATAAGGGATATAGGTGTAAAAAGCTGGAATAGCTCGAGTGGTATTGGAGGCAGTATGTTAATATGAAAGTCACGACCTTCTACATTGAAAGGGATGAAGCTGTGGCCGCCGGCTTCTTCAGGCGGGTTAATTATTATTCCGGCAGGACCTAGGCCCCTTTGCTGTGCATATGTGTGAAAGCTATGATCATCAAAGTCATATTCCTTTACATGTATCTCATCAAGAATTGGTGGGGAACTCATCGTTTCAATAGATATCAATTAGCATAAGTTTTTAGTGGTATTTTGTAGAAATTGAATATCTTACGAACTTCCGGTACCCCGCACGTACTAACCTTGTGACTAAGCAAAGTGGGGCGAGTGACCTCCTGAAGGGCTGTACCGCTCAAAGGGATATAAATTTTATTAGATTTTTAGCTATTTTATTTATAATAAAAAAATGTTATAGGGTAGGTTTTTTATAGTTATACAGTGCAGTGTCACGCTCGCTTATCAAACACGTTATAGAAATATTATAGAAATATTACAAGGCAACATATATAGCTCTTTGCCAGATAGTGACGCTTCACTCTTGATTTGAGAACTCGTACATTAGAGCGATGTTCCTCAGTAGCTGGTCCCGCTCCTTAGCCATCGCCTCAAAGCCCTCCTCGAGCGACACGATGCGCTCTCGCGCAAGGGCTAGCACTTCGGCTCTGCTAAAGCAATGGTCGCAGCTATCATGGTTATTGCCATTTTTAGAGGGTGGCATTGGTAATATGGCGAGCAGACTTTCGAAATGGTTCTTTAGCCGGCTCCGGTATCGCTTCTCAGCCAAGTTATGGTTCTCGCGTGGCTGTTTCAATGCTTCTGAGGAAGACGGCTTCTTATAAGCCATCTTCTTTGTTAACCGCTTCTTCGGCTTGTGCGACGCGGTGCGTAGATTAACACTTGGACCTCTTTGAGTACTGACGTCTGCGCTGTTGCCGCGCTGTCGCGAATTTAGTAGTGATTCTCTCTCTAGTGTTGCTGGGGAAGGCTGCTTGATGTTGTAGCTGTCCACTCCTCTCAGCTGGTCCGAGAATTGATAGAGATCGGCTGGGCAGATACCGTCGGACGCAAAAAAAAGCCATCTTGATCTTGGGAAGAATTGGTAGTTGTAATGGCAAATTAAGAGGCCACTGGCTCCCTTTGCCAGTTGTCCGAAATTGTGGGATCTTGTGGGTTCGGGTGAATGTGTTTTTGATCAAATATTTGATGGGTTTTCAAAGTTGAAATGATGGGGAAGGAAAATCGGCGGGCTAGGGCGACGAGGGAGGGTGCGGGGATAAACCTCTTCGACTGCGGTAAGCCTCCAGTGATAAACCTCAAAACAGCAGGTACCTTAGTATGCATGCTTTTTCGACGCGTTGGCAAATGCGTTTAGTATCAGATTTGAAAGGAAGAACCCTCCTGCGGTAAGTATTATTAGTTGTCTCTAAATTGGTCTAACGATAGAGAAGTTACCCGCTTGAGATTTAACCACACGTTGAAGGGTACTTGTAAATAGCAATTAAAATGGGCCGAGGCCGTGGGTTTGTCTCATTCTGGACTGGCAGCTCTGAAGACCCCAATTTTAAATCATCCAGTATCAGCGGCATATCCCATCAGACCCGTCATCCTTTTCGTTGCAGGCATTCGATTTATTTGCCGTTGACCGACTTAAAGTATTCAATTGGGGAACTCCAGCACTCGGAAGCCCGTTGATGGGATGGCTTGCTTAAACCAATGACACTTATGTCTCGGGCACCACCTGATCGGCAATTAGCCTTAAGCCTGGGCTTACGGAGCCTCCGTAATGGTTTGATTGGCCAACGCAGCTGCCCAGACGAACTCTCTCATTCTCTTCCTCATATTCCGGGTGCGACGCTCGAGGTTTGCAGATTGAGTTAAGACGCGGCGCGTCATTGCGAGTCATAGCCCTCGCTTCATCTTGCTTTCCAGTTTCCAGTGGCCAATCACAGCGACCAGATTCGCTCCGAGGACTCCTGTCCAATCAAAGTATGGAGAGGGGGTTGTATTCTGGCGAGGCATGCAGCGTTGAGCCCCCACTATAATAACCCACCAGTTATTGACTTAAAACTCAGATCTGCAGGCTGCACGCACCCTTTGACATTTCGGGATGTATAAAGACATGTGTTCCGGAAACTTAAGGGTCTTAGCCGGCAAACCAACCGCTCATTGGTGCCCTCTCTGGGTCGCCTCCTCAATCCAGGCCGCGCATTTCAGGGGCCTTGATGCTACCCATACACACCCAGGCGTCACTGAGTTGCCACTGGGTTGCGCCTTAGGCTTGGAGCGGTTGGGGCTGGAGGCAATCCAGAAGCAATAGGACGTCCGTTCCACCCACATCAACCTCCCGCAAAACTCGTCTCAAACCCAAGGTCTTGACTTTACCAAGTTACAAAAAGTTTCTAGACGCCAACCTCTACACTTATCGATTCATTCAGCAAGCCACTGATAGCCATCTATAGAGAGCATCGTTACGCCATTGTTCCTACCCTCGGCAGATATATGAGCCATAGTAGGTTTATTTTTGCAACCATGCCTGACCAGTATGAGCTGATATTCTAAAGCAGATGCTCATACGAACTCCCTTCCGTACATGGAAGGGGTGAGAATGCTCGTCGGCTACACCCCAGACAAGGCTATTGGAGACGATCTCACCGTATACGGCGCGGCCATTCCGTCCTACCCACAATGGGAGCTCTCGGAGTCTATGAACCCGCCAGCCTTTCTGGGTGCTTTCCACAATGAAGTCGGCATCACTACCCTATCCAGACAAGACTACGTTCCCCAAGACCAATTGTTATTCTACGGGGAATCTAGTTCGGGAGACCATTGGGTCAATATATACTCCACCGTCAAGAACCAGACTCTATCACACGATCGCCTGGTAACGGTTGCTGACGAACCACTGTCAACCTTGACTCCTTCGCTGCAGTCATCACAAGAGTTACCCAATAAGCCCGGTCGTAAGAGGAAGACGCAGCTCAGTGGACGCGCAGCTTCAGAATCCGCTAGACGCAATGCCAAAGGAGACAATAACACGGATGATCAGAGGAGGAGAGGGATTGTTGCTGACGGAAATGGGATCAACGTCAGCAGCGGCATGACTAATCGCAAACAACATATAAAACATAAGCGAATTCAAGAGAGAAACCGCATCGCTGCCGACAAATGTCGCATGAGAAAGAGGGAGCATTTTTCGAGACTCCAGTTCGATGAACAAGCTACAGAGCAACGCCATAGAGAGCTGTCTAGCTGCATGAATGACCTGAATGAAGAGATTTTATATCTCAAGATGCAACTTTTGCAGCACACCAGTTGCAACTGCACCTTAATACAGCATTACATTAAAAATGAGGCACAACGCTATACTGACGCTCTGGGGCTGAGGTGACCACACTACAATATATAGCCTTAATGGATTAATAAAAGGCGATGGTGTAGGTCCAGACATTACAGACGAAGATAATACCACCTACAGGAGGGTATAAGAAAACAGCTTTAGTCACTTACTTAAAAGTCAAGGGATTTCTTGTACAGTTAAGGTTAACGTACATGATAAGCTTATGTCACAGACAAGCATGTGTTACAAAATCCCTCATTCTCTTCTCTTTACATTTGATCAATTGATTCTCAACCATTAAGGATGTCCCAGTCAAATGATGAAGCAAATATTTTCTTACCCTGCAAACCCTTTAAAATGATCCAAAATTAAGCATCCGAAGCGCCGCATCAATCAATTCAAATCAGATATGGAATTTTGTCAGATCAATCAATTCAAATACAACGCCTGTACATCTGACATATGTGAATGGAGAGCAGCTACCCTAGATACGCCGGATTATCTGTATGTTCCGGCTCCGGAAAACGTGACTCTCCCTAGGAAGCCACGATGTTACAGAGGTCAGCCGAGCTGATTGGTCCTGGACCCTTGCCTGCCGGGGTCTCAGGTAGAGGCGAATACGAAGGCAGTTCACCCCTTTTTTCTACCTCTCGCTCTGATACGATGTAGATTTAGCCAGAGGAACAAAGCAAGCCTTGGGTCGTCAGGAACGCATCTTGGCTGTTCAGTTTCAAGCCATCCACATGTTCTACTAACTATAATCTATAATGTCCGAAACCGCTTTGAAAGGCAGCATTGTCAGCAGCCCGTCGCCATCGCCACCACCTACGTTTCCTCGTCTCGGGTCCCGACCCAAGAGCATCGCCAAGCAGTATGCTGCAGCTTTGGCTCTGGCCTCGACTACCGATTCTTCCGTTGACGACCTTCACAAGATTACCTGGGGCCAAAGACATTTTGTCATTGCGAGCCTCGTAGATAGGAGGAAGAGCAGAGGCCGGCGAAGCTGGATAGGAAACCATGGCTGGTTCCTCGCGGAATTGAACAGAGATAATACATCTAGCGGAGATATTTGGTGTTGCCGACTCTGTGATGACAAGGGCGCGCCACGATTCTTTAATGCTCAGTCGACATCCTCGGCACAAGCTCGTCTTTACAAGTTGTCGGACTTTCCCATCTCCAGGCTATCACTGACGGTTTCAGAGCTCATAGGATCACCGAGACATTCGAACCGGGTTCATTCGACGATTCGTCAGTTCTGGATCTTCAAAGAAGCGCATCCAAGAAACGGCCAGCCTCTTCTTCCCTGGTTCATCCCTGAGCGAAGATGGCACGGATGAGAGAACTCTTAGTTGGCTATATTATTGATTCTAATCTTCCCTTCTCTACCTTCGAGAGTACCTACCTATAAGAGCTGTTTCGTCAGTTAGACTCTGATCTTTATGCTCAGATACCCTGGGGTCGAACTTCAGCCAAGAAAGAATTGGAGGACATACTCTCTTTGAAGAAAGCTGCCGTCAGGGAGGAGCTTGACGAAGCCGTCACACAGATACACATCAGCTTCGATCTGTGGATGTCTCCAAATAGACTAGCTTTTATTTCGATATTTGGCCACTTTATTGATCGGAGTAACTCACACCAAAGCCGGCTACTTGCTTTCAGGAGGCAGATTGGATCATTCAAAGCGCATGCCAGGGAACAGGAGGAAGCAGACATCTGTAAGCTTGCGGAAGAGTCAATAGCTGAGCTGGAAGTGATACAGAATAACGCTACGAGGTGGAACTCGACCTACATAATGATCGAGCGCGCTTTGATCAAGCAGTCTGAGCTCAATAGCTTTATCCAAGATTTAGGGCTAGAAGCAGACGCCTTAAAAAGGGTTCCCGCGGCCGATATCCTGACCTCCGATGACTGGAAGGTCCTTAGGGAAGTTAGTCATATCCTAGAGCCGATCTACAATATGACAATGAGAACACAAGGATGGGGTACAAGTGGAGGCCACGGCCGGCTCTGGGAGGTCATGACAGGGATGGAGTATATTCTGGAACATTTAGAAGACTGGAGGCTTCTCTCCGAGGATGAAACCGCGAATCATGCTACGGAGGAAAGACGTAGAGCTCATGGGGAGGAGCTTGAATCGGTTGCAGATACGAAGTCAATGTCTGCGCGGCCATCTGTAGTAGGGCAAACTCGAGAGCGACCCTTGCGCCAGTCACGACTACCATCGCGACTCCAAGGGTTTGAGATCACGCCGTTACACCGCCGTCGCGAAACGGTTCTTTCGGCTTGTCCATCCACCAGCCCATTGTTTAACGAAGGTGCTCTTCCTGTACATTCTCGAGGAGACTACCTGCAGGACGATGCTCGCTCCGTAAGTAACATTGCCAGTATGGAGGGTCAAGAGCGTGCTAGTATCAGGGCAAGCATAAACGCTGCTTGGATTAAGCTGAACGAATATTATACTCTTCTGGGGCGGTCGCCTCTGTTTGCGGCCTCTGTTGTTCTGAATCCGGACCTTGGCCTCCGGTGGTTGGAGACTAATTGGACTTCCCCAGAGCAGCTACAATGGCTTCGGGATGCAAAGGATGGCATTAAAGCCTACTTTGAGCGTTGGTACTCGAAAAACGACGATGATGCTTCTGAGAGTATTTTGGCCACGTTGACGCCCCGACCTGAGCAAAGTAGGTTTGAGCAGTGGATGAAAAGTCGGCAGCCTAAGCTCTCGGCAACAAGCAGTGAGCTTGAACGATACTATAGGCTCGAGCCGGAACAGGTAGATGACCCTGTTCTTTGGTGGATTGATCATAGCAATGCTTTTCCGCGTTTAAGTAGATTTGCATTGGATGTCCTTGCAATCCCGGCCATGTCAACCGATTGTGAGAGAGCATTTAGTCTTGCGAAGCTTACAGTCAGCTCACAGCGACACTCTCTACTTGGATCGAGCATTGAGTCGATCCAACTACTGAAGAACTGGATAAGGGGAGGGTGTGTTACTCTGGGGGCCTATGCTTAAGCAACAAGGCAGTCAGATCCCACGGGCAGAATCGTGAGGCTGGGAATAGCTCCACGTGACCTATTATATATCAGATATCTATTAATCAATCAATCAGATCAGATGCAGAGGGTAAAGTATCAGTTCAGTTCAGATTTACGTCCCCATCTGATTTGATTGATCTGACGGCAGCCCTGGATAGAAATATTCTAGGTTGAGGTATTTTTGGTTAACTCGCTTATCAACCACGTTATGTGACCACGAAATCATGAAAATATCCGTTCAGCACAACGGCTTGCTTCGTTGTGCAGGGGAGCCAAAGATGCGAAACAGACATCTCACTCTATGTCATTAGCTTCCCACAATGGCGCGTGCGGGCGTCTCAAGTGACCCAGGCAGAACGAAACTCATCCAAGACTATATACGTCATTTCAGTTATGAAGCTGTCAATTGCGTGTCTTATCCTTCTAGATGAAATTGTACAACCCGTCGTACCTCGGGAAATGTTTCTACACCGATGGAGGAGGCCCAAAGTTGGCTGACCAAAGTTGCATAATCCGCCCACGGCAGCATGAACCAAAAATAGCCATGGAAAACATCCGAAATGCCATCGGGATCAGCCCAAGTATCATTAAAAACATCCAAAACGTCTACTTGCACATCCTTTGGCAAGGGATGATGTCGCATCTCTTCGCTGTCGGTGTCACCAAGTCGTATATGATATCGGCCCTCGAAACGCTTTACCCCTGCACGCCAATCATTGAGTACTCCAAGTTGCCAATCAAGGTTTCTTTCTCGACGCAAATCATCTTCGATATCGTTCCAGGGAATGTCGCACTTTGGAAGACGGCTCCGTAACGCTAGAAACCGGTTTACATCATTCTCCTTGTCAAGATCAAAGATTAAAAAATCATTCTGGGTTCCAACCGAGAACCTAGAGATTGGGAGGCTGTATGATCGGCACACGAGTTGTAGTTCTTCGACCCTCGACGAACACGATGGGCGTGATTCCGAGGAATAAAAACGAGATAGTGATGTAGACCAACAAGACAGTTCCTCCAGATGCATCGCATTCCCAATGTGCTTTGGACAGAGAATTACAGTTTCAAAGACGTTCTCGATATCATCAAAATGATCTTGGATATCCCAGTGGAGATCAATATAGAGTGAGTCGCGTTTTGGATCAACCCAGCCATATATGCGGTCGACATATTCACAGGTACAGACGTCATATCTGCCCGAGATGAGAGAAAGTTTTCGATTTCTGATGATGTTTTCCCGGACTTCTTTGCACACGAACATAAGTCCTGGCACGTCGTGTTGATAGTGAGGGTACTGCCTCCCACTTCCTTCTATTCGGCGCGCGTACGGAATGTAAATTCGAGGAGAAGATGGAGAGAACGCCAGGTTCCAAATCTCACTTCGGATTTCTGCGGGTAGTTTTGCGAAATGGTTGAATTCATAAAGATGTCTCGCTGTGTCCTGAGGCGGCGACGATAGTCGGGCTGAGACGTCGGCCGAAATATGAGGAGGCTGACATGCATTGTCGTCTTTGCTGGAGAGTGGTCCGCGGCGTGCATTTGACGAAGGAGGAGTCATCAGCACTGGAGATTCATGCATAGTTTGTTCAGCTTCCATTTTAGTCCGCCGTAAGACGATGAACGAGGGCATGCAACATTGCCAGAGTGAAAAGGGGTGGCAATGACGGTCAATAAATGAATGAAATTTATTCCGCCCGGGAGTTCTAAAATGGGACGGGCCCCGTCCCAATTTCCACATCTGGTATAGCTCTCTCCGCTGTCGGACTACCCAGCGCGCCGCCTCGAGCGCCGTGTTTAGCTGCACTTGCTAGCGTGTCGAGTTTGAATGTTTGCGACGATTGTATTCAAATGGGCGCAGGTCAAACTCAGAGTTTGACGCCGTTTCCTAGTGACTGCCTCTCTAACAACAATTCAGCAACGACCGTGCCGGGCTAAGTCGTAGAAAACCCCATACAAACTCAAATCGCGCTATTGAAGACGGGGGGGGGGGCAAAGTCGTTGAGAGTATATCGGTTAAAATATATAATTTACTATGCATTAAAAGCTGACATTAAGACGATATTATATATTAAGTATTAATTAATTCCAAGCAGGATTATGCTGTTGCGACTGGTTTGAAGTTTAAAAGTGACCGGGGGTAGCTAAAATGAGAACGATGATTGGTGAGTAGTAGATTGTCAGAGTTGGCCCCGTGCATTTCGGCAATCGTGAGAGAACCCCTGGAATATGTGGCTAGCTGAAAGCCGAAAACAAGCTTAGCCCATGTCGATCTAATGGTGCTAGGCGTTCTAGATCAGACCGTGTCTGCTCGTGTCGATCGCCCACAGCCTTCTGAATGAACTGGGCTATTTATTGGATCGGTGGCCGGTGATCGCGCAATACGATTCGTGAAACTCGAGGCAAGACCGTTATGCACGTTAAAGCAAAAACGGGTTGATTGTGTTGTTATTAGTTCTAAGTTACATGTGTCTGAGAGGAGCACAGCTCCTTAAATAGTATCCACATCCCAGCCACCAGTAGGTCGGACCACCTTAGCCACACTGTCTCAACACAATAGAAGTACTCATTTAATTATTAGCAACTCTCTCCTGTAAAATATTTTTCCTCGGCACCCGCTGTTAGCGCTCTGCTAAGGCAAGGAATTTTTACAGGCCAAAATGGCAACAAAAGCAACTGTGGGACCAACGGGGCCTTAACAGCTGCTAGAAGAAAGGGATTCAGAGAGTTGACCTTTCTTCCTGACAAGTGTCTTCAACGACACTGAGCTTCGCGAGCTCTTGACATCGCCCCCGGGCGCCATTTCATATGTGGTATTTGCGACTTCTTCTCACCTCGACATTTCGGCTTCGCGAGCCTGCGACATTCCGGCCTCTGTGCCCCTCGACTTCCCATACGACCGACTTCTGCAGCCTCGGCTGCCCAGACGACATTCGCAGCATCCTGCTGCTTGACATCGAGGGTCATCGCACCCTCACTCTCACTTTCGCCTGCAGTTCAACGCTGCCTCGACCGACTACTGCAGCTTTAGCTGCCCGAACAACACAAGCAGCCGCCGGCTGCTCGACTTTCTGGGCCCCCTGGTGCCCTCGACCTTGACGCACGGACCCCACATGGCTCGTTGCCCTTTTTGCAGCTCGGAAGCTGCTTGACCGATCTCTGCAGTCGCGTACTGCCCAGAGACCCTCTTCTTCTTTGCAGCCCCGGCCGCCGCCCGGGGCACCGCCAGGCTTCGACAATTTGTCTCACTGGCTGAGACCACGTGACAAAAACCGCTGGGTTGAAAGGTACAGAGCTTACCTGGAGACCATGGAACGGGGCGGTTGCCTCGTCTACAGAGCAGCGTTCTGGCCGCCTTGGGTTTTTCCCCTGCAAGGGGTTTCCCCAAGGATGCATAGTCCTAGGGTTGCAGCTTCTGGCGATCTTAGGGATCATGGACTTCCTGCCCCAGGGTATGGAAAGCTACTTGATCTATCTATGCAAGAGAATTCTAGGCTGGAGAGGGATATGTTCCCGCTGACGGGATGCCCTCTTGAGAGTAATGCGCCTTTGTGCCGATGATATGCTGGATGAACTAGATGGGAGACGCTGCCGGAGGGAAGCTCTGCGAGGATCAACTGTATTGATGTCCGGTGGGACGTGTTTCACCGACAACTACTGTAGGGCCAGCTACGGGTAGAGAGGTGCCTTTTGGGGGGATGAGTAGAGAAAAAGCTCGAGCATGTATACGGCTCCGACGCAAGAGGCCTTGCAGATGACCTGAGCGAGGATCAGTACGGTAGCGACTGTAGATAGTTTAGCTTAGCACGTCCTGTGCTCTAGTAGGAGACTTTTCGGGGCCGATGGCCCCCCGGACGAAAAATATACATAACATAACATTTAATTATTAGAACAAGCTCCTGTGTAGATAATAGCAATACGTTACAAACAATCTATGTTATATAACAGTGTGTTTTAATAATTCGGCAATGAGCTTGCCTAGCTAGATCGTAGAAAGCTATACATGATCTCGCACCTGCTGATAAAAACTTTAGGGTAAAATCATTTAATAATGGTAGTGCTAGCTTCTATTTACATGGTTGATGAAGATGACGCGAATTTCGAGTAAACAAAAACCAGAAAGAAAAAAAAAAAAGTTAAGAGTGAATGTCCCGTTCGGCATCAGAAAATGTTAGAGCCGGGTCTGACTATGTTGCACGGGGGGCCATCTATGGAAGCTCAATTAAGTGCTTCAAGCGACTGGGTTCAGTTATAATCTTATGATTCAACCCAAGTGCTGAGCCTCTCAAACTTCCCTTCTTTCCTCATCCCTTTTCAACCACGATAAAAAACTCAGTTATCATCATTGGTAAGGGGGTCTTTGCGCGACTGACATGAATATCCTTATTGAATTCAGACAGTCTCAGCTATTTAACTACTCGCGTCCAGGATTGACCTGCTCAAGACGCTAACTAGCATACAGATGCATAGTTCAGTAAGTTTGGATCGTGCAAACAAAAAAGACTAAAGTCGCATTATCCGGCCAGCCGGCCGAAATGATGTTCTGAAAGCGCCATTGAGTCTATGTACCAAAAAGCACCACCGTCTCACCTCCTGATTAGCCGACATGCTTGCAATTTACATTCGACGCATACCAGCCAATGTTCATTTAGTGATCGTCTACCGTCCTTTGCTACAGGATTTTGCTACGTGACCTTGCTTTCCGCATGTGTAAAAGGCCCATATCTCTTCCGTTTCTCGTGCAAGAAATTATCAACGACCACTGCTTTCTTTGTCATGTCTTCGAGGGTTGTTGGTAATGCCCCATCATGATACAGGGCATCTTGGATGTCGTCTCTCAAACTAATAAAGAACAATGAAGCGAAGTATGTGTCTCTTGTCAGGCGGCTAGATAGATTGACAAACTCTATTGAGTAGTCTCGTGCACTTCCTGTTTGTTTGGGGCGCTGGAATTTGATGGCTGCCTCCATATCTGCGTTCGGCGCAGACATATTCTGGTGTTTGATCAGTCTCAATTCTCCAAATCAAAATATGTAAAAATTTACGAACGATTGTTATGGAACTATCGGAGTAAGTGTTTTCTGTTTCCTCCAACTGTGGGGTATCTTTTTGATAATGATCAATCGGGTCGTGACTAGCGAAACAAATTCATAGTATAGTTAATCTGCGACGAAGTTCAGACTTAGATTTCGTTTTCACTCGATTTTAGCCGCCACTACAGCAACCATGCACAGCCAATGGAGTTGAGCTGACACCCGAAGCGCCCCGAATTTTTCTCCGAGGCACCCTACATCCAGCATACACTCAACAAGGAAATATTAGTCTGCGATACATATTGGTCGCGATCATGCCAAAGAACAGGTTGCAGGACTGCGGTAAAAAGTTTTAGGGCAAAGTACCCTGGGGAACATGGAATGTGGAGTATACCGCATGGACAGCATTTATTGGGATAAATGAGCAGCAAGGATCCCATTGGTGGAGCCCCTCAATGGCTGATGGCAGTTGGCAAGAGGGTGGAGAGATTTACCCGCACCACATCAGACTAGTACGTCAGCCTCACCGGGCTAACGGAAGTGTGATTTTTGTGAAGACATTTTGTAAGATGAGACAAGAATAAGACGCGACGTGGCAGTGAAAATCTCATCACACATTGCCGAATCGTGACCAATATCGGGCTGCGTTATGACAATCTCGCGTAGGGGTTGGTATATCTTCTTTGTAGTCTCTTTTCTCTTTTCTCGCAAAAAGAGCAATCACGTTACGACTGCGATTGTTGGTTGCACAAGATGCATTGGTGATAGACCGAAAGGGAAGCGACTGCATGTTCTCGGCCGACGCCGACATGAAAGCAACGGGTTGCGATTGCCTAAATCTCAGACCTGCAGCCAACTACCTGCTGTATCTTGTCCGCCTTGGAAGCTGTCGACCTCTTCCTTGATTAAGCGCTGGGCAGGGCGGGGTAGTAAGACACGGCACTAAAGACTAAAGGTGTAGTTGAGTGGGCAACTGAACAGCCTTATTAAGTAACCGGTTCCGCAAGACCCTGTAGATCAAATTCTTTTGGTCTAGATTGGCCCACTCCGGTGAAGATCGTTTAGCAGCCGGTGAAGGGTCTACGCTAGCTCCATGATGTGACACAGAGCCCTACTACTGTACTCAGATCATTCAGAATCCCGCCGCATTGTCCACTTTTCGTCCGTGCGAACCCTGCAGAAACAAGTCAAGTTGCATCTTCGCAGTGATCAGCATCATCTTGGCATTGAGGCGGTCAAGGTTGCGCAAGAGTGGACATCTAAGCATAAAGTCTTCGAGAGTCAGCAGGAGGTCCACGATAATCTACCACCCAGGCCCGACGATGCACCGCCAATTGCAGCTTTAGGTCCGCCAGGCACAGGAGCTATTAGGTATGAGTTTATCCCAGAGCAAAGCACGTCCCGGCCTGATTGCCGATACGTGGGCACAGATTTGAGGCGGATTCGAGAACATCTCAGGGTCGAGCATAATTGGGATCTATGGTGGGATTCGGGTCTCGGTTTTCACTTTTGTTCGAATGGGCTCAGCCAATAAGGCCACGCCTGGGACGAACAGTACCCTTGTCATTCTTTTTACATGGAACGGTATCCCTGCACGCCCAAGATAAGATAAGAGAGCACCCGGAAACCGTAATATTAATCCGGATGCCTCTAATCCTAGCCTTGAAACACGCCTCTTCATTTCCTTTAGAAACCAAACGTCGACAATCTTTACAATCTTTACAATTTTTTACAATCTTTGTTAACGTTGTGGAGGTAGTGTTTGGAAAGTCAAGCGGGGCGCGATGGACGCGGTTGCGGACAGCATCGTCACGAATACCGAGAACCTCAGCCCCCAGGACTCCAGCACGCACAAATCAGACCGGCCGCGAAAGCTAACAGCGAAAGGGATGGAGAACTTGTCGGGCAATGCTGGAGGATTGAATCGCTATGGCCCTTCACCAATCATGTTTAATGCCTCATACAGTTGCTTCCGTCGGCATCATTAAGCGCATAGATAAGCAGTCTGAACTAGAATCAGTGACATTCAGTCAATTGAGCGGTTGGAACGAGCCGAAGAAGAGACAGAGTGTTATACTGGATTTATTCAAGAGTTGCCTTCGGTGAAAGCCTACGAAGCATTAATTAATATAAATGAATGAAGTGATTTTATAAATCTGGGATATATATCCTTCCAGTGTGCCTCTTTGGACACGACTTGAATCACGAACCGGAGTTATAGCCAGGGTCTGGAGCTTGCATCTATCTGACAAGCTCCCACTCCTCTCCATAGCCATCCGACTTGGTGATCTGAACACTTTCAGAGGTGCCAGTCTCTCCCTGAGCAAGAAAGTTCTTCTTGAGATCGCTATAGTACATGCGACAGCTGTGTCCGCTCAGAGTCAGCTCGCCTTCGTCATTGACGCCGACATATTTCTGGTTATTCCCCCCGACAGCACTGATGGAGATGAAGTCTTTGCCGATAAGAACAGTCCTGTTTTTGTCGCTATTCTGCTCTCCAGCGAGACGGAAGATGAAGCGGGTGCGGCCTAGCTTGGTAGCGTAGATCAAGCCACCCTTTGCAAGCCAATAGAGCTCTGGGTTGGATTTGGATCGGATGTAGTATCTGTTGATTCGTTTGTGAGAAAAGAAATATCACGAGAACCTGTAAGAGACGTACGCTTCACCGCTTACAACATCAGTCCTTTCGGGTTGACCGAAGGTCGACATGATTCGGGCATCACGATCATTCAACAGAGTGAACATGATCTTGTTTACGAACGACGGAGCAAGGTCGTACGCCGCCGGCCCGGCGCCGAAGGAGTAATAATCGGGAGCCAGGCGCTTGACCTGATCGTGTTTCGAGGAGACCTCACGCCACCACTCATCAATGGTTTCAGCATTGGGAGCGGCGAGGAGATATCGGGAAATGTGCTCCGTGGGGTGCTGTAAAGTCAAGTCAGAATGCTAGAGCTTTATGGATGGAATAGCTGCTGAACTCCTGGGGACTTACATATTTGAGAAGTGCGTAGTAGACCATGGTGGGCTTTGGAAGTTGGCTGAAGTGTGAAGTCCGGGAGGTTGATGCAGAGATGGAGATTGAGCTGAGGTTAATGAATTGCGCTGGAGTGTCCATGAGGCCACGCTTTATACGCAACCTTGGATCAAGCAGCAGCTGATATTTTCTGACGAAAAACCAGGAACTTCTGTCATCACCGAATATCATCGCTGATCATCACTACCATAGCACGGCATATTTTCTGCTGAGGCCCTCCAAATTTCCCGGTTCCAAGATGTTTTATCATCATTTACTAGCGCTTACCAATGTCTCAAAAACTTCAACATGGAATCTTGACTCAATATTTACAAAGAAGGAATCTCCGCATTGAAAGTGGCTTGCTGAACACCCCGGCAACTCTGCCGTAGTGAGACAATTCCAGCCCACGTGAAAAATTAACATGTCGGAACGATTTCGTCGGCATTGGTTTCGTCGTAATTGCGACGTCAAGCTGAGCTGAGTCGACGATCCTATCTCGAATAGGCCTGCATAAAGCATAGGAAACGCAATCCAGCTGGCAGCTGCATTGATCTGCGTCACATGCTGACCTGTCACAGCAAATATGCGGGCTGCTAGCACATTCCTCTTGTGTCTTGAGTCGAAGGTTGGTGAAAGTGACGAAGCCATTAGAGTGAAAGATCACTTCTCTTCTTTCAAAAGGGGTCATTACAGCTCCCGTCCGCGCATTGGTCAATCTGAGGACATTAAATTCTTATCTTCGTCCAAAAAAAAAAAAAAAAAAAGGCAGCTGTGAGAGCAGCTCAGCTGAGACCGCTGTCATGCAAGGACGGAAATGGTCAATGCGGCTGGGCATCGCAGGCTAAGCAGCATGATAGCTGCAAGAGCTGAAGGAAGGGGAAATGATCTTCGGAAGACTATCAGAGGGGACGGAAAGATGATCGACAAAAGACTATCGGACGGGATGGACGAAGGATCGACGGAGTTCCCAGAGATGGGCTTCGGGGAAAACGGCCTCTTTTGCAAGTTAGGTATGGTGTGTCTTAGGTAGATCCCTTCCGTCGTCAGGCCCGATGGCCCGTTCCGAGCTGAGCGTCGATCATTTGCTTGTCTAAACCTTGAGACAGACTAATGAGAATCCCAACGTCACGACAATATTAATACGACAAAAATCCACTCAGGGTGGCAGTTGATCGTGCAGCCTAGCTGAAATGCCGAAAGCCTCGAATCTGATACATGTTCTAGCAATACGCATATCCTTGCCAAAGATCTTCTCAAATGAAATGTGATAAGGATGGAGGGTTTCCCAAATAAGGTTCGGCTGACTCTGGCAGGGATGCAAGGCAGGCTTTTTGCAGGCAAAGTGACTGACACCTTGTTTGTCACAGTGATATCAGGGACCGACTCGCCGGCACCATGTCTATCAACCATCGAGATTGGCACCATATTCATTTTACCAATTAGGACATGTTCGTAGGTGGCTTGAGGCTAATTACCTCAGAGGAAAAAGTCTTGACATTCCGTGAGCTAGCGGAGGGACACGGCCAATAGATTGTCGAGGAACAGGTTGGCAGCGAGACGGCATCGCAGAATTGACCAATGGACATTCGTTGGAGCTCAAGATCTCATTTGGGGTAGGCTTTGCAACAGTAAGCAGTCCTCATGCAAGACCAGGCTTAAGATTGTGATAGTTTCATCCCCGCATCCCAAGAATGCAGTCGAGAGACAATCTCTGCTCAAAAGGGACAGCTGTAAAACAAGCCAGCCACCTGAACACGAAAGTAAGGTGAAAAAGTTCCTCTATGAACAAAAGTCAAAAATCGATAGTTCAAAACAACAACTTTCGATCCCGGAAGCCCGAAATCCGAAAATGAAGGACAATTCACTATCCTTGCTGAGTCGGCCCATAGAGCTGCCAAGACATTAACGCGAAGGGGGTGCATGTGAGATACTCGAGGTAAGATTGCGAATAATCAAGGTAATCGAGATCGTGTATAGATAAAAGAGCACATCATTCGCACTCCAAGTTCGAAATCATCTCCTCATCACTTCATCCCATTTCACTTTCTCTTTTGTTCCCCAACCATGCATGAGTCCTGGAAGACCATCCTCGCGCTCTCTAGCTTGGCACTGAGCAGTGCAGCAAAGGAAATTCCGTTCGATGCTCGCCTTATGGCTCAGCAAGCTGGACTGCCTTCCATGCGCAGTAACGGCACCAGCACTGCTCCTCAGCTTGACATCCCGAGTACTCGTCCAGCCCGGGCTATTGACCTGAGCCAGATTGTGCCAGCTCAAGATTCTGCTGGCAACAGCCGCTGCTGTCCTATTGGAACTATCAACGATGGCATTGGCTGTGTTTTCCCTCATTCTTCTGTGTGCCCTGAGGGTACTCGTCTGGAGGGAAACACTTGCATCAGCGAGAAACCGCCCAAGTGCCCTGATGATCTGATCTATAATGGCCGCAACTGCGTTGGTGGTACGCCTAGCTGCCCTCCTGGTAGCCGATTCAACGGCGAGGCTTGCGAGTCCGAAGTTGAGCCCAGCTGTAACCCTGGCTTCAAGTTCCAAGACGGTAGCTGCATCTCCCTTACCGAAGCGGGATGCCCACCTGGTTTCAGTCTCAAGAACCATCTTTGCACTTCCAGTACCAAACCTCAATGCCCTCCGCCCTTCAAGTACGAAGACGGCATCTGCGTTGATTCCAAGCCGCCTTCATGCCCTCCTGGCACGAAACTTTCCGACGGCATTTGCATTGGTGAAGCTCCGCCATCTTGTCCTCCTGGCTACGCCATCAACAATGGAGTGTGCACTCACGGGTCAAAGCCCAAGTGCCCTCCTGGCTCCAACTTTGATGGCACTGCTTGTGTATCTGAGAGGCCTCCGTCTTGTGAGCCTGGTTTCTTCAATGGAAAGGTCTGTGAAGACAAGCCTTCTTGCCCTCCAGGCTTCAACCTCGATGGAAGAGTCTGTGTTTCTGAGAGCAAGGCCACTTGTCCCGTTGGAACCTATATCGCCTCCGACAAAGCCAGCGGAAAGTCAGCTTGTTGCTACAAAAACTTTGACTTCAATGGGGAGACATGCTTCAAGGCTGTTGACAATGAGGATGACTGCCTTCCTGGAACCCACTATGACAAGGGACGCTGCTGGGTTAGCCCCCAAGAAGAACCCAACTGTCCTACTGGTGGAAAGTGGAACGGAAAGACTTGTGTTGTTCAGTCTGTTCCTCAATGCCGCGCTGGCCAATACACCAATGGACGATGCATCATCTCTGAAAGCCCTCGTTGCCGCCCCGGTGCCGTCTTCAATGGTGAGAAGTGTGTTCTTGAGGATCGTGCGACATGCCCTCCCGGAAGTGTTCTCAGTGGCAACAAGTGTATCTCCAGCGAGCCTCCCCTCTGTGAACCTGGTCAGACCCTGACTGGGGATTACTGTATGTCAGAGGAGCGCCCCAAATGTCCTTCTGGATCTACACTCGTTGGTAGATACTGCAAGTATCCCGATCTTCCCATCTGCGAGCCTGGTACCAACCACCACGATAACGACTGCACCTCTACTGTGACTCCTGAGTGTCCAACTGGAAGCTCCTTTAATGGAGTGAACTGTGTCTCCATCAATCGTCCTTCTTGCAAACCTGGCTTTGCCTTCAACGGCGCCACTTGTGTCTCTGAGAACGATGTCCCAACTTGCCCAAAGAACATGCAGTTTGATGGAGCCAACTGTGTGTCCAAGGAGCGACCTATTTGTGACCCTGGAAAGTTCTTCGATGGCGTCGCTTGCGTCGATAACACTGACCCTCAATGCCGTCCTGGTCTGGTCTTTGACGGAACCAGCTGTGTATCCAAGGAACCTCCCCGCTGCGAGCCTGGAACAAGCTGGAATGGAATCAAGTGTACTTCAGAGAAGAACCCCGGTTGTGGTCCTGGTATGAAGTACAACCCCGAGACTGAGACTTGCGACTCTTCTCAAAAACCCCGTTGCCCTACCGGAACTGAGCTCCGAGACGATATTTGCGTCTCTGTCACGCCTCCCCAGTGTCCTTCTGGAACGATCCGAAAGGGCGGTAAGTGTGTATCTGTCGAGCCGCCCCGTTGCCCTCGAGGTCTTACTCCCAGCGGTGGTCTTTGCATCTCTACCAAGCTGCCTCAGTGTGGTGAAGGCACTATCTTTGATGGCAAGCGATGTGTCATCGGAAAGACAGAGGAGTGTTATACCCTCCACACATGCCCTCCTGTTGGCGCTGCTGGACTCCCTGCTCAGGCTGCCAACTAATTAACGGTGTATTTTCCTACCCCGAAATGTGTCAGTACTTAAGAGTCAACTCACAAATTGATCAATCTCTTTTCTCAGTCCTCTATAACCTATAGATAGCTGCTTCTTCTTCTCACTCCAATCTGGCGATGATGTCTGTTAGACCGCATTGATCAAGAGTGTAAGTAGGGACAGGGTTGGGAGGATCATGAATGTCTGTCACATTCGAGTGTCGGCCAGAAAATACGATCAAAATCCGCCAAAACTCCACCACATAACGCCACGCGATGGAATTTAGATGAATAGATAGCTACAATCGTGTTGTATCAGGCTCAATCAAGGTCTATGTCTCTTTATTGTTGAAATGAATTTTATCGTTGATTGAAGGCACAAAATCTGGGGTTGACAGTGACAGGTTGGCCCAAGCGTCCTGGAGGGTACATTTGTAACATGTGGTTACCCCTGTTCCTGAAAGAGCGACTGCCCAATAGAATTGCATCTTGAGCGTTACTATATCCCTGTCAGTTTCCTGCGGACCAATACGATGTGGTCTTGGGCGTTACAGCATCCCTGTTAAAAATCGCCCAACACCATCAGGCTGAATCTCAGACGGGAGGCGGACATCATCATATGGCCTCATGCTGTCATCTCGCCGATGGATGAATATCAATAGATCAAAGTGCACGTCATAATGAACGCCATCTCCAATTATGTATGATGTTTATATCCAAAATCTTATCTGTAAAATGCCACGATTGTCATCATCATACCATGGATGTATTCTTGCCCATCAGCATCTTGTGAGTACGAGATATTGATGTATGTATGTATGTATGTATGTATGTATGTATGTATGTATGTATACTTTTCGTCCGGGGGGCCATCGGCCCCGAAAGTCCCCTACTGGGGCACAGGACGTGCTGAGCTAGAGAAGTCGGAATCTATCTACACGCTATTTACAGAAATGCTATTGGCTATAAAGGATTAGTCATTCGCAACGCGAAATTAGTCTTCACCTCGGCATCCAATTTCTGTAAACACGTCAGTAGGACGCACTCTATCCAGCATATCATCGGCGCAAATGGCGCATTCTATCGAGCCTGTTACCCGTCAGCGGGATGACAAGGCGCGGCTGGCATATCGCAGCCGCTGATGAAGCCTGATTTCAGGAGAGCTGAGATCAGCCTGTGCGTGTGGCAGCTTAAGGGCTGCCTCAATAGTGGTCATGGCCAGATGAAGGGCGCTGGTACACCCTTCGTCTGGCCAAGAACAGGTAAAAGAGAAAGAGAGAGATTGAACAAAGGAGATGAGTGGAAGATAAAGAGAGAAAGAGAGATGCGAGTGCTTCTCTGGTCGTCGTCGCCTAATGGCGAGGGGCATATCTTTCCAAAGAACGCGCTGTCCTTGGACAGGTCGATGAATTTGGTGAAGTCTTTTCCCATTGCTAGATTGACTGCTGTATTCGGTGAGGGTGTGAGCTTCACTCGACAACGCGGCGGTACTTTTCTGCAATAGAAGATGTGATCCGGCGCTTTGCGTCGGCCACATGAGCAGACCAGGCGTGCGTTGACATAGTCGAATTTTTCGTGGTATGCGGCGAAGTCCCCGTGGAGGGATCTCGCTGCCAGCAGATGGTGCAAGGCTGCACGTGGGAGCGACAGCTCTGGCGGGCAGCCTGTGGTCGCCATGAGATTGAGTCTCTTGTACTGCTCAGGAGTGGAGGCCGACCACCATGCTTCGAATGCTTCTTTCGGTTTTTGTCTTGCGATCCTCCGTAGGTAAGCGATCGTCGGCTTAGCAACTTCGGGCTCAGGGAGCATTGATGCCGCTTTTGCCAGCTTGTCGGCCTGTTCGTTGCCAGGGATGTCGGAGTGTCCTGGTACCCAACGAGCCTGGATGGCGCCATGCGATGTCGCCAGAGCCTGGAACTCGAGAAAGACGTCTTGAGAGGAGTCAGAGGGTGTGCCTCGTAAGCACGTGGCAGCTGCCAGGTTGTCTAGGCATATGTAAATGTTCTGTGTTGCTAATTCTCGCAGGTTTAGGGCAGCCTTCAGGCCCTCTAACGCCCCGGTAGCTTCAGCATCGAAAACCTCAGCGGGTCCCAGGCGACCCGATCCGTCAAAGATTGGGACCTTGTCCTGATAAATGGTGAAGCCATAGCTGGCTGCCCCTTCCGAGGACAGAGAGCCATCCGAGTATACAACCAAGGTGAGAGGGTCGACCCAATGGGAAAAGGCGTCGGCCGATTTGTCTTTTGACGACATCTGAAGCGGAGGCAAAAGCTCTTGATGGAAGCGTCGCTGGACGAGTTTCGGTCGCGCGCACGGCGCAAGGAGCTCATCTGTACGTCGAAGACGTGTTCGGAAGCTGCTTTCCGTCTGTGCTTGATATCTTCGTTTGATGAGGTCGTGGTAAGCAGGTTGGCTGGGCAGGCGCGTTCGACTCGCCAAAGGGTGAGCCTCATCAAGCGATTTGAGCCGCGCAGAGAATCGGAGTCGCCGTGCTTCAAGGAGTTGCGCGACTGGCGGTATCCCACTTTCTCGGTGGAGAGCAGCAATAGGTGTTGTCTTCCAGACGGGAAGTATAGCTCTCATAGACTGGTTCATGGCCTTGGTCATTCTCTGTATGAGATGCTGGTTGCTTGACGATAGGTCTTTGGTGGGTTGATTCCATCGCGGTCTGGTTGTGCCCGGGTACCAGGCCTCGGCGCCGTAGAGTAGCACGGGCTCGACACATGCCCTGACGGCACTTCGTACGGCAGCCGGCAGCGGGCCGTGTTTCGTGTTGGTGAGTCCTCGCAGATGGTAGGCCACGGCTTGCGCTTTCGCTGCCCACTTCTCTACATGGATTCGGAACGATAGCCTGCTGTCAAACCAGATGCCCAGCCAGCGTAGGGCTGGCTCGGGATGTTTCTCGATATCTCCGTGACGTACCGCTGGAGCGGTCCTGAGTTTGCTGCGAGAGAAGTGCATGACTTCGGTCTTCTTCGAGTCGAAGGAGACGCCGTTTGTCGCGCCCCAGCGCACCATCTCGTCGATGGAACTGGATGCCATAGCGGCAGTTTCATACGGGATATTGATCGATGACATTGCCTTGCTACCTAGGGTAGCAAGGCCTTGACAACACCCATTGAGAAGAGAATCGTGCTGAAATCCGCAATAACGGTTAACTCGGTCATCCGGTCAACCTTCACCTCCGATTACCCTCTGTCTCCGTATTTTGGATTCTATAACCGCCACCGCCAATCCTATCCTAGTCCTACACACACACACACACAAGTCTATTACGCCCGGTAGGCCACTGCCCAGAGGTCTCTATGAGCTAAAAATACATGCATCTCGCTATTTATTGCCTTGATCTCGCCAAGCCCTTGCAGTTCTTTTCTTGTTCTTTCCAGCCTGATCATCGCTTGTCTCCTTGATCCCCGTAGTTGTTAGTAGTAGCAAATCAACTTGAAGCCCAATTCCTCCAAGTGTTCAGTTTCCTATCTTCGGCGGCTGAAGCGGTGCCTGCTTCTGGTTGCACGGGGCAGCCGTTAGTAGGTATAAGTTTATGGCCGATGAGTTAGTGGTGTTGTGGTTGTCATCTCTGTTCCAGGTGACCTGTGGCGATTGCGAACCTGATTGTGGCTCGTACTGCTTCCATGTTCGGTGTCCATTTTTGTCCATCTGATGCAGCTTTGCCCCCCAAATGAAAGGAGAGGTTGCCGCGCTTTTCCTCTACGCATTGAAGCATCATCTCCTTGCGCTGTGCCATCCATTTTACACATCGGAAGAGAAAGTGCTCTACCGTTTCTTTTGCTTGCCCGCATGGGCATTCATCGGTCACTGCTGCTCCAATTTGATACATGTAGCCGTTCAGTCGTGCCATTCCGGTCCTGAGTTGTGCCAGCACGCTGGCTTCCTTCCACGGTAGCTGGTCGTACAGTAGCCGAGTATGTTTACCAGGCAGAGCTGAGTCGACGTTTCTCGAATGTCTGCCAACTCCGTCTGGTAGTTTCCTCTCCCTTCGCAAGTCTGCTCTCGTTCGACTGAGAATTGTCGTCTTTGCTTTGCTTGTTCCTATGCGTGGTGTGACGTACGGCTCTGTTGCGTGGCGGGCTGACATCTTGGCTATCCTCTGGATTTTGAGCTCACTGTCAGATGGTAGCCAGATGAGCCTAACTCTATTCATGTCTCCTTTGAGCTTTTCTATAGCATCGTATATCTCTCGAATGTGCCCCTGGCCCGATTGCTGGCGAGGGTTACCTATAGCTTGTGCCGCCGATCTGTTACTCGTCAAAATCACTACAACCCGATACTTCATCTCTGACAGATATTTGAGACCACGAGCGATGGCTGCTAGTTCGGCGGTGTACGGGTTGTGTTCTTCCGTCGTCCCTAGCGTGACCGAGAAGGTCTCGATGATCTTGCCGGCTCTCGCTAAGGATATAGGGATTCGAACGGTTCCTCCCATGCCGACAAGATCGTTTCTCGCCGAGCTGCTTGTCGCTATTCTTACTGCCCATCCTGCTTTGGCTAACTCTTTGATCTTGTCGTCTTCTTCCCCTTCCTGTCCGCCCAACGTGGCTTGCATGCGTTCTTCCCACGGGGCGAGGGCGAACGGCTGGATGATCTCCATGGTATCTCTCGGTAGCTCTCTGCATACGTCCGCGATGCGCCTAAGCGGAGATATGAATCTCCGGAAAGCTTTGATCCCTCGCAAGAGATTTCGGACCGGATTTGTCCGTGGGAGGGTGTGTATGTCTACCCAGAGTTTACTTGCTCGTCTCCAAAACCGTTCGTAAATGGTCGCTATGTGAGCTTCCGCCTCGGCTACTGCTGTCGCCACACTTGTGAAGGACCCTATGATCGCCTGCGCTCCTACCCTTTGAACTCGATGAACGGCATATGCCGACGCCGTCTTGCACGCATGCATCCAGACATTGGAGGCGTAGTCTACCACAGGAGCCACCATAGCTGTAAAAAGCTGTCTCGTTGTCGAGGGGGCCATTCCCTTCAATCGTCTCAATTCCATCGCCGCTTCTAACCCCTTTGTTGCTGCCCTTGCGATGTGTTGCTTATAGTGAAGGCGCGAGTCCATGACCACCCCAAGAATCTTGACCTGATCCGTTGGGACAACTTTCTCGCCCTTGATGGTGAAAGGTTCCGAGTCTATTCTACCTGTGTATCTGGTGAAATGTATGATCGCCGTCTTTTCTGCTTCAAACGTCGCGCCGCTGCGTCTCTCCCAGTCGAGAGCTTTGTCGATGACCGCTTGGATTCCTCTCCGGTTACTCTGGGCTGTCGGTCCTGACACCCACGCCGTGTAGTCGTCCACGAACGCGATGGCTCCACCGTTCCGATCGATCTGGGTTTGCACCAGGTCTGCATTAAAGAATAGGAACAGTATCGGCGACAAGGGCGACCCCTGCGGAAGTCCTGCTTGTGGTAGAGGTCGGTTTTCGGAACTCTGGCCATTGATGACGATGGTTGCAGTTCGCTCTGAACAAAAGGCATCGATCCAGCGCAAGAGACCCTCGGGAATCCCTCTCGCCTTCATCCGCTGCAGCAACCTCTCTTTGCACCCACCATTGTATGCGCCTTTCACGTCGAAACTGACGAGGCTCACGATATGGCGTGAACGCCAAGCCGAGAAGATGTGCTCTTGTAAGAAGTACGAGGGCTTGCTCCGCTGACCGCTGCTTGCGCGCACCGAAGTGGTTGGTCGGAAGAAGTCCATGAGTCTCCACCGCGTGGGAGATTCTCTCGGCGACGACCGATTCCAGCACCTTACCCAACGTGGCGAGAAGCGAGATCGGCCTCCACGCTTTCGCGATCGTATAATCATCTTTGCCTGGCTTCTTGAGTGGGATGATTCGAGCATGTCTCCACTGGTCTGGTATCACGCCTTCCTTCAGTGATGCCTGAAAGATGGCGAGGACGTCGTGTTTCACCGAGGGCCAGATCTGCTTCCAGACAATCGCTGGTAGCCCATCTTCTCCTGGTGCCTTCCATGATTTTGTCGCCCACAGTTGACGTTCCACTTCTTCCAAAGTCAGGTCGGGCATCGTTACTGGGGCTCTCTGTTGCCTCAATCCTTCGTCTTCGATATTGTCTGGCAGTGGCGGGAAGAACTTGGCTAGAAGTTCTTCGGCTTGCTCTCGATGATTTGTCGTCTTCGTTCCGTCCGCTCTAGTGAGCTGGGGCACTTTTCCAAAAGCTGCATCATCCCCAGACTTCATGTACTTGGCTGCTTTCCAGATGTTGTCGTTGTCTGCTAGGAACTCTTTCCAATGGTTCATCTTGCGTTGTCGGATGGCGTCGTGGTACTGCTTCGCCGCAGCGGTTGCTGAGCCCTCGAGGTCTGAGGAAGTCTGACCGGCACGTCTCGCGGTCCGCGCTCTGTTCCTCCAGTATGTGTAAACGTGTCGCAGCTGTGTGAGATCATCGGTCCACCACCGTTTTGCGTATGGAGACGGTTTGGCTCTCGGTGTTAAGGTCTGGACGGCTTCCGAGACCGCCAACATCAACCTGTCCGTCTTCTGCTGCACCGTAGTTCCCATCGGTCTATCCCTTAGTATGTTCGCTATCCTGTTATTGATCTCCTTCCAGGGTGCATTCTTGAACAGAAGCCTTTCTTCCTGTTTCGGCGCCGGAACTGAGATGTCGAACACCGTCTCTATCGTGCGATGATCTGATCCGTGCTCCGTACCGTGTATCGCGCATTTGATATTTGCGTTCGCAAGCTCCTCGGAAGCCAGAACTAAGTCAATCGTTGTTTCGTAGCCTCCGCTTTGCCATGTCTTTGTGCCCCGCCGGAGAAGGCTCCGAAGCATGAAATCGTTCATCAAGTCGATGATCGGATCCGCCTCGCCCTGTCTTGCCACCGATACCTCGTCTCCTCCCCACATCTGGTCGTGCCGGTTGAAGTCGCCAGTAATCACCACATCCACCGCTCTGCCTGACCTCCGCCTCATCTCCGTGATTGCCTTGCCAAGCTTGCTGCATGTATCCTGTAGAGCCTGAACATCTCCACCTGGTACATAGACAGACGCCGTAAAGACCAGACGCTCTGGCAGCCGAATGACCGCTGCCGTCACATCTGGGGACTCTACTGACACCTGCTCCGCCTCCACCTCTTTGTTCACCCAGAGCATACTCCGGATCACCCATCTACCTTCTCTCTCAGCCGTCGGCACCATTTTGACCCATCCGTGATGTCCCATCGGTACCGTCAATAGCTTTCCTTGGATCCGTCGTGCTTGGGGTTCTTGGATGGCCAACACGGTTGCATCCTGAATATCTTTGTCGTTCATCAGGCTCTCGTGTACCGGCCCTTGCTTTCTTACATTCAGCTGAAACAATCGGAATACGTTATTCATGCTGTGACGGATAGAGCTTCTGACAGTTTCTGCTGTATGACTCATGAGGGCCGCCGCAGGGGATGCATCTCGAGATCGTTTCCGTGCATCTGCTGTGATGGTGACCTTCACGCGCACACCTGCCACAGACTTGCGATCGGTCGCATTGGTAAGCTTTGTGGTTCGTGATCTGTTGGCAGTTGTAACATTGTTTTGGGCGTTCACGGCGTTCAAACACTCTTGTGGTGCCAGACTCCCCTCCGGCCACGAAGAATCCTTCACCAATGAGTCGCCTAGCTTCCGAACGCTTCTTGAGGTATACGACCATCGAGCCGTACGCCTTGGGGACGTCCCGCTTGCTGAGCCATGCTACTTTCGCTACCTCGGTGTCGTTCTCTCGGCCAAGGGTCTCGGCAGCTTCTATCCGGATTTCGTTCATCTCGTTCAGCACCGCGGTGCGACTGACATTATCCACCTTGATGGGGTAGAGATCATCTCGTAGAACGCGCGTTCCTCGGGCTAGTTTTGTCTCTGCAATTCGTTTCACAGCCTCATGTTCGCTTTCGTCCCTGCAACTAATTCTGATGCGGTGGGGGTTCTTTGGGTCCTTCGTTACGGCCCTACATCGCCATGCGGGACTGTGCAGTTCGGCGCGGGCTTCGTTCTCTACTGTCGCTCTGATCGTGCCGGCCGATGGCCTGGCATCGTCATCTTCTATTCGCGAAACGTCAATCGTGCAGTAGAGCGTGTCCGTAGGGATTGGAGGAACGGTCACGGTCGCGGTTCTGGGACCAGCTTGAGGCTTAGATGTCGAGGATCGTGTGACGTCAGCATATGACCGTTGTGATACATCCATTGCACTCGTGGCAATAGTTTCGAGCTGCTCGCGGGTCCGCTGTAATTCTTCGGTCATCTGTTCTTTCATCTCAGCCATCTGCTTGCCCATCTCGTTCATCGTCTCTTCCTGCTTTGCAACAGCTTCCTGCAGTTCCCTGGTCATTTCCATCTGCTCCTTCAGCGCTTCCTGCAATCTTTTTGTCTCCCTGCGCGACTCCCCCAGGAGATCCAACGCTTTCTGCAGCATTGCCCTTCCATCGTTGCTTCCGCTGCCGCTAGTCTTTCGGACGTCGGTCGTTCGATCAGCTTGTTCTTCGGAAGGTACACTTCGAGTCGTTTGCCGGGTGGTTTTTCGTGTTTCTTTGGCGGTGTCTTCGAGTTGTCGCGCGGTGTCTCGGACTTTGCTCGTTGGCCTCACCACTCGACTTGGTCTCGAAAAGGGGGTGTCATCCTGCTCCACCACGATCTCGGCCCCTATTGGATCCGCCATGACAGGCAGTCTCCACCACGAATTTTCTCCCAAACGACAACAATTCTTCTGACTACAGTCGAAAATCGCCTAGTCCTACAATCCAAAATCAATTGTTCCCTAATACTCCCCTAGTACTACAGTCCAAAATCAATTGTACAACAATTGATTTAATTTACCCCACTTTACAGGGGGTTGACTTGATTTTTGACAAGGGGTAGACTTGGATTTCGAAAAATGGACTAGCGTTGGGGTAAACTCGATTTTGACAGGGGTTGACTTGGATTTCTGATTGGTTCTTGGTTACACGTTCAGGCAAGACAACACTTTAACAGCAGCGCGTCGAGCTTTGAATCCTATTTATCAACGTCTATCACAATGAATGTGAGATCTAACCAACAATCTATTATTTTTTAGCTTGTTTCAAGAATATCCGTCAGACCATGGCACTCAAGCCTATAACGGAGCTCGGCCCTTCCAACCCTATATACCCGTTTATGCTTCTTTCTCAATATCGGATTCTCGTTTGTCAGAAGTGCCAACATGCATGCTTGGCTAACGAAGTCGCCACTCATCTTGCCAAAAAGCATCCTGGGATAGAGCCAGGGGCCCGACGCAGACTGGTGGATGATACTAAGTGATACCGAATGTATTACAAAGTCGGGTCGAGCTATCTCAATTACAGTATCCACCACCATCAGCCGAGCCCATCCCCTGTCTCGCCCCTCCCAAGCTTGACGTGCTCGAATGTCGACATTGCAGTTACAAGATTCGCCAAGTTCAGGCGATGCAAGAGCATTGTGCCAAGTCTCACAACTGGGTCAACCCCAGAGGTAAAGGAAGGCCAACAACAGGACATCCAACGGCCGATCCTCTGCCGTGGTCAGAAGGTGTCGCATGTCAACGATTCTTTCCTTCTCGGGAAGGTAGCAAATGGTTCCAGGTCAACATACGGACAAAAGGACGGGCAGACAGATCGAAACCAAAGCCGAGTACTAAGAAGCCGCAAGGAACGCCCTATGTTCTTACATCTGAGGCATCCACCCATCTACAGCAAGTCATAGATCGGGAAGCCAGATATCGAGAAGCTTTAAGTCAACCACGAGCAGCTGTCAATGACACAGGCACCGATACGTTTGCCGCTACAAGCTTGTGGCTGGATAGAACACAATGGCCTTCTATCTACCGAGGGTCCCGACGAGACGTCCTGCGAGCGTTGATCAGACTACCCAATCGCCCCTCTCTCAACGCAGACTACACCTTGGGACAAGGCAATTCAGAAGGCGCGCCGAACCTTGTAAGCCCACGAGAGGATGAACAGAAGATCTCATGCATTATGAGAGCACTTGACTTAGTAATAGACCGTTGTGAGGAGACGGTTCGCTGTACTAGTCACAATCTTCTCCGCTGGCTGCTCAGCTCGAGGCTCCAGAGCCGTCGGGAGATCGCTTTCAACCTTGTGGCAGAGAGGAGTAGCGGGATTAGATACCGAAGGACTCAGAAGCAATTCTTGGCTTTTATCCTGCGAATGTACCGAATGCCGGGTGACTCTCGACGAGAAACGATGAATGTGAAGATAAAGCCCGAGATCTCCACACAACTAGATCGGATTTGGGAGCACAACATTTGGAACTATATCGATGTGTCGAAGGGAATTTGGCCGGCAGTGGAAAGACAAGAAAGTCATCTGGGCTCTCTGCGCGGCCAATTCATTAGTAATCTAATCAACACTCGAGCTTGTCAGGGATCAGATGGGAAAGAAGATGCTGAGGACGATGAGATAGACGATGAGAATGTTGAAGCTTGGGAACTTGAGGATGACGAGGACGATGAGAGCGACTATGATGATTCTGGACATTACAACGATGTTGAGGAGTGCGCGGCTGGAACCCATCAGGATCCATTCTCAAGGGTATTGGGGGACTCTGCTGCATCTGCAGTCGGACAATTCCTCGAACTCTTGTTCCAGCTATGTATCATGCTCAGTACTGAACCTTTTCTTAACGGGCAACCAAGTTCTACGCTGCTTATATATTTTAGCGGTATTCTTGGATTCTCCGCTGATTGTCAAAAGTTTCAGCTCGCGCGACAGTATTGCTCAAAACTGTCAGCAATGATCTATATACAGCGCATATTATTCCTGGAGCAAGCATTGCCTTTGCGTGGATATCAATTCATCGGTATCCCTCAACGGCCGGAAGCCAGGCATTTCGAGTGTTTCGATGAAGTCCGAGCCAAGTATATGGTTCTAGGCTCGCAGTACCCGTTGGCGGAGCTGATAAGCCTTCGAGATTTCGGACATAATGTTGCATGTAACGAACCACCCTCTATGCTTTTCCACTGGAGCAATGATAATAAGACAGTGTCTCATGCGACTGTTCAAGTAACAATAAACAACTTCCGCAAACTCCCGGACTATTTTATTACACAGGCAGAAGCACTATGCGATCGATTGATGTTTGGGATTCAGCCAAATATTGACTTGTCGAGAGTCAAAGACGATATCACTAGTTCAAAAAGTGGTCACAGCTTTATCAAGTACCCCGAGAATAGTCTTGAGTCAGCATATTTGGAGTTACTAGTCCATGCCTACACTGCAGGAAGAACCGGATTAGCTCAAGACGGCGTTTAGAAGTGGCATGCTGTGACAGCATACTTAAAACTCGTTAGTAGGATGGAGGAGCAGCTTGCTGGCGGTCTTTATACTGCATGTGGCCAGACACCACGAATTAGTGAGCTTCTCAGTCTTGAGAATGAGAATAGTCCGAACACAAGCTGCGGGATATATGCGTGGGGCAGCTATATGGTGTACGTCATCCGCCATCATAAAGCAAAGCGACTAACGAACCGCGAATTCTATGTGGTCCGATTCCTTCCGGTTAGACTCGGTCACGTTCTGTTTAAGTATCTGGTCTATGTTCGACGTGTGGCTGATCTACTACGTCGCGAGCAGCTCGGTGCCGATAGAAGCGCCCAGCAGTGCTTGCAGACACGCCTACTATTCCAAAATAACGGGAGGCCTTGGCCTACCTCTCGCCTGACAGACGTTGTTACGAAGACCACTTTAGAATTGTGGCAACAAAGGATCAATGTACGGACGTATCGCCAGCTGGCCATAGCAATCACCGAGAAACATGTTCGCGAGGTGTACACCCCTTTCAACAGGCACGACGATTGGAGCAATGATGCTGATATCAACGCCATATTCGCTTGGCAAAGTGGTCATCGGCTATTTCAGCGTGGGATCACGTATGGACTTGATGGAGCGTATCCATTCAGACTTCAGCCACCACTTCTACAGTGCTATAAATGGGCTTCATTGCGTTGGCATGAACTTCTGCGTCAGTCAAGCAAAAACCTACGTTCTGTACCTAACGAGATACCCATCGCCCCCGAGTTATTCCCAGCCAACGAGAAGCGAGCCATTACAGAGGTCCTCACAGACTCCATATCTCCAATAGATGAAGCTCATTCGGCCAAAAGACAAAGATATAGCGAACCATTGACGACCTTAAGCGAGCAAGACTTGCAGTCTTTACCAGTAGAAGGTGGGGGAGATGGGCACAACCAAGTCTCACCTGCAATATGTAGTGACGTCTGGCCCCATGCCTTATATGCCGAAGACGGACATATCTCTTTCATGGACGGAGTTCTCCATGTGCTTGATAAGTCTCGGATTTTGATTTGCCTTCTCTGTAAATATGCCATTCGACCTGGCAAAGGCATTGAAACGCACTTTCGAAATATGCACAAGTACACGGGAGATAAGCTCAAAGGGATACTATCTTTTTGCGACGAGCAAGTCTTCCGAGATCCGACTAAGGTACCGCTTCCTGACAATGGTAGTAAGGCTATCTCGCAACTCCCAAAGCTAGGTGGATTTAGCTGCGATTACTGTGAATTCTTATCCATTGATAAGTCGAACCTCAGGCACCACTGTAGCCAATGCAAACCTCAAGACAGAAAAGCCGGCGACAAAGGATGGAAACATGTTATTCTTCAGAGATTTGTCAAGGGTAGTAGTGTTCGGTATTGGATTGTGGAATAGCAGATAGTTGATTAATATGGACTATATCAGGCATAGCTACTCTTGAATGTTCCTGTCGTCCTGCATGGGTCTTAGTTCCCTTATTCGCCTACCGTAACAAGGCCTCGATGTAATGTGCCGAATTACACAGAATCTGGCCCGTGCACGTATCAAGGTTCTTCCAAATTCGGGCAAGATCCTCCCGATCCACTTATTATCCATTGACATCCCCATTTTCTGTCCGTGCACGTTAGCAAGGCCTCCCTTACTAGTCTCTAGCCACATTTTCCTGTCCTCGTTCCTTCACTAAACCACGCGAAACCTAACAAGAAGTCAGCAATGAATTCAGGGTAGAATACATGAAGTACAATGCCACAGCAGGTTTGACCGGCATAACAACACATACCGTAACCCTGACAGTCATTGTTTGCGCCGGCTGCCAGCCGACGATTAGCATTCTTAGCGCTAAGTCACGAGACCGGGATCCCGTCATCCCGCTTTCAGCCTAAACACCATAACCTTGATATCTTCAACTATAAGGAATCAACGAAAATAAGCTCTTTTTCATCCGCTCCTCCTCACAATAGTTAAATAAGCTTATATCAATTAATTAATCAACCAATCAGCATGCCTAATTTTCTTTTTCCTGCTTATCTAAGCTCCTTGTTGCATAGAGCTCCTTCGTTATATAAACAGCCTGACCGAGATCCCTCTCGACTTTTCGCCGCTTTGAGACCTGTGATTGGCTGTTTTTCTCCTTCAATACTCCATTCTCATCCATTATTTGAGCCATTTGGACCACGTGATCTTCGATCCCCTTTGAAATCGTCCGGAATAAGTGCGGCTTTCGTTAGGCAAGCCCCTTATTGCCGAATTGAGATCTCACGAGGTTCATTACTTCAGATGATTCATGCGGTGTTGTAAGAGGAGTCAATTGAAGGATCTCATTGGCTGGTGGCGTACCTGGGTTACCTGATTTGGCAGCTTGAGCCTAGGTATTGTTCACTGCGATTTAAGTTAAATCGGCTAAGAAATTAGGTCGCAGCTGCACAATGGGAATTCCTCATATCGACAGCCGGAGCTCAGGCTGCCAAGGAGCTTGACTTTATCCCGGGTGTTGTTGTGTATGGGGAAATCTGGTCTCTTGTTATCACTACGAGAAACCAGTTGAGGACAGTACGTAAGCTATTCTTATCCTAACCGTATTTCTTACTGACTACGTATGATGCAGAATGCCTTTCCTGGTATTCCGTTTGGCAGTACACGCTCTATCATAGGTGTATTTCAGGTCATTGCTGGTTTACAAATACTACGCAAATGGGCATTAGAAAAGCTGTGGCCATTGTACCAGAAATATCTCGATGGCCTGGTTCAACACAGTGAAGAACAACGACGATGAAAGCCAAGATATGGGTAGCTAGGGTCAAAAAATATGCTAATACACGACCGGCTGAGGGAGTGCTTTGTCATATGCTATGTCATTGTAAGAAGCGCCAGGGTAAGCTACCCGCACGGAGTGATCTGACAACCGGCCATGTACACATAAAAGTCGAGTCGTGCCAGCCTGTTCTTTCCTCTCTCCTCACCTGATTTGCCTTGCACTTTCCACTTCTAACATGGCAGAGCCGTGCGATTGACATGACGCAGCTGCACGTCTCATTACATGGCAATCCTATTGGGCTCATAAGCTGCGCCTGTCTACAGGGGTCCTTTTCAGCTGCTGACGCCTCCCTTCCCCGCACGAGAAATCCCGCAAAGGTGTTGCTACCCAAGTTGTCAGTGACGACAATCTCATTTGTCGTCTCGACTCATCGATCCGAACAGAAGCCATCTCGCTGATACAGTCATATCGCCCAACGAGGCCAAGGTGCCCTCTTCAGAGTCAAGATGGCGTCTCGCTGGTTAAAGAAAGTCGAATCCAAGGCCAAAAAGCTGTTGTCTCCTTCAGCTCCTTCACCATCACCTTCGCCGACACCGTCTCAGCCTGCATCTGAACCAGCAGCTCAACCAACATCTCAGCCAGCGCCTTCCCCACCCACCTCGACAGATTCCGAAACGTCGCCGCTGCCGAGTCTACAAGAGCGGCTTTGGAATCAGGCCTACGACGAGCTCAAAGCGAGCGAGCCCAAACTGGTCGAAGCGTACGAGAAGATCCTATCAGTTGGACTTCACCGAAAGGACCCGAGCTCTGTTACTTGCGAATCAACGGAAAACGAGATAGAGGGGGCTCGTGAGACAAGATGCCGCCAAATGCAGCAGTTAGTCCGGGATGGACTAGACCGGACGCAGAAAGCAGCGTCCATCAAGCGAGGAATCGATGAAGGCTTGCAAGCAGTGCAAGCGGTGAGGGGTATAGTGGACAAGTCGGTTCATGCCGCTCCGGAAGCCGCCGTCGCCTGGGTAGGCGTCTGCCTTGGACTAGAGGTGTGTATGATCAGCTTTCCCAACCGAAGAGAGAGCGGTGGATGATCCCTAGCTGACAGTTGTTAGATCCTTTCGAACCCTGTCACTGAGTCACGCGACAATCGCAAAGGCATCGTCTACGTCCTGTCGAGAATGGAGTGGTACTGGAACTTGGTGACCCTGCTTCTCGACGAGAACAAGGCCGAGCAATCTTCCGCGGGTCTGCGAGTCCAACTGGAGAAGCACGTCGTGCAGCTATACGAGAAACTTTTGTCGTATCAGATACAGAGCATCTGCCTTTACCACCGGAACTGGGCTGCCGTCATTGGAAGGGATATGTTCAAACTCGATGACTGGGCTGGCCAGCTCAGCGAGATCCAGGAAGCCGAGGCTGCCGTGCAAAGAGACATGGAACAATACAATACTGAAGAGAGCAAGATGCAGCTTCGAAAACTCACCGACGCCGCAGGCGCTATAGAGATGAATCTCCAAGACATCCATTCGGCCATTGAGGACCAAACACGGCAGCAGGAGAGAAGACACCAAGACGACAGGGACAAGCAATGCCTGAAAGACCTACGCGAGACCGACCCTCGCGACGACAAGACGCGCATCCAAGATACAAAGGGCGGCCTGCTCAGGGACGCTTACCGCTGGATCCTCGACAACGACGACTTCCAGCGATGGCGTGTCGATTCGCGGAGCCAGCTGCTCTGGATCAAAGGAGACCCTGGCAAGGGCAAGACGATGCTGCTATGCGGCATCATCGACGAGCTGGAGAAGGAGCCCCGCACTTGCCTGTCCTATTTCTTCTGCCAAGCCACCGAGGCACGACTGAGTAATGCGACGGCCGTGCTGCGCGGTCTAATTTACCTTCTCGTCGAACAACAACCGTCGCTCATCTCGCATGTTCGGAAGAAGCATGACCATGCGGGTAAGCAGCTTTTTGAAGACGGGAATGCCTGGGAAGCCTTATCCAAGATCCTTGCGGCCATGCTCAATGACCCAAGCTTGGATGGCGCGATCCTGGTTGTTGATGCCCTCGACGAATGCAAAACGAATCGACATCAGCTCCTTGACTTGATTGCCAAGCCTTCTCGCGTAAAGTGGATCGTGTCTAGTCGCGACTGGCCGGACATTGAGGATAAACTGGACAATTTGGAGCAGAAAGTCAGGCTGCACCTCGAGTTGAACAAGGACTCTATCTCCAAGGCTGTTGATACGTACATTGGATACGAGGTGGATCGATTAGCACGCCGCAAGAAATACGACAAGGAAACAAGGGACGCTGTCGAGACCTACTTAACCTCCAATGCCGACGGCACTTTTCTCTGGGTCGCCTTGGTCTGTCAAGAGCTCGCAGATCCCAAGGTCCGAAAACGGCATACGCCCAACACGTTGAAGTCATTCCCTCCGGGACTTGATTCGCTCTATAACCGAATGATTGGGCATATAGGTGATTCGAAGGATGCGGGCCTTTGCAGGGAAGTCTTAGCCACTGCTTCGGCCGTATACCGACCTATCACCTTGGGCGAGTTGAAGGTTCTTGTTGAGTCACTCGAGGATCTCGACCGGGACGACTTGGAAGAAATCATCAGATCCTGCGGTTCTTTCCTGACTCTTCGAGAAGGCGTCATCTACTTTGTGCATCAATCAGCCAAGGATTTCCTGCTTAACAAGGCATCTGACCAAATCCTACCCTCTGGCGCCGGGCAACAGCATCATGCCATCTTCTCGAGGTCGCTGGAGGCTCTCTCGGAGACTCTCAAACGTGACGTTTATGAACTGGGCACTCTAGGATTTCCCATCGATCAGGTCTCGCCGCCCGACCCTGACCCATTGGCCTCGATACGATATTCATGCGTCTTTTGGGTAGACCATCTCGATGACTCGGAACGCCAGGCGAAGATAAGTGACAAGGATCTAGAGGACGCGGGGATCGTCCATGACTTCCTTCAAAAGAAGTATCTCTATTGGTTAGAATCTCTCAGCCTGTTACGTAGCATGTCGGAGGGGGTCGGGGAAGTACAGAAGCTCGAAGCCTTAGTAGTGAGTTGTTATAAATTCATGTACAAACTGGAGACGTTCTGACATGTTAGCAGAAAAGCAAGGAAGCGCGACAACTAACGGAACTACTTCGGGACGCGCGTCGCTTTATTCTTTCCCACAAGCGGGCCATCGAGATTGCTCCATTACAGGTCTATGCATCAGCACTCGTGTTTAGTCCCACCCGCAGCCTAATAAGAGAGCTCTTCGAAAAGGAAGAGCCGAACTGGATCACGCTCAAGCCGAGCGTGGAATCAGACTGGAATGCATGCCTACAGACGCTCGAGGGCCATGGAGATTGGGTGAGCTCGGTGGCCTTCTCGGCGGATAACCAGCGGCTCGCCTCAGGCTCGCACGACAAGACGGTCAAGATCTGGGATGCAGCAACTGGCGCGTGCGTGCAGACGCTCGAGGGCCATGGCGATGGGGTGAGCTCGGTGGCCTTCTCAGCGGATAGCCAGCGGCTCGCCTCAGGCTCGCACGACAAGACGGTCAAGATCTGGGATGCAGCAACGGGCGCGTGCGTGCAGACGCTCGAGGGCCATGGCGATGGGGTGAGCTCGGTGGCCTTCTCGGCGGATGGCGAGCGGCTCGCCTCGGGCTCGGACGATAACACGATCAAGATCTGGGATGCAGCAACGGGCGCGTACGTGCAGACGCTCGAGGGCCCTGGCGATTCGGTGAACTCGGTGGCCTTCTCTGCGGATGGCCAGCGGCTCGCCTCAGGCTCGCACGACACGATCATGATCTGGGATGCAGCAACGGGCGCATGCGTACAGACGCTCGAGGGCCATAGCAGTTTGGTGTTCTCGGTGACCTTCTCGGCGGATGGCCAGCGGCTCGCCTCAGGCTCGCACGACAAGACGGTCAAGATCTGGGATGCAGCAACTGGCGCGTGTGTGCAGACGCTCGAGGGCCATTGCGATTCGGTGTTCTCGGTGGCCTTCTCGGCGGATGGCCAGCGGCTCGCCTCGGGCTCGGACTCGGACGACAAGACGATCAAGATCTGGGATGCAGCAACTGGCGCGTGCGTGCAGACGCTCGAGGGCCATGGCGATTCGGTGAGCTCGGTGGCCTTCTCGGCGGATGGCGAGCGGCTCGCCTCGGGCTCGGACGATAACACGATCAAGGTCTGGGATGCAGCGATGGGCGCGTGCGTGCAGACGCTCGAGGGCCATGGAGATGGGGTGAGCTCGCTAACCTTCTCGGCGGATGGCCAGCGGCTCGCCTCGGGCTCGGACGATAACACGATCAAGGTCTGGGATGCAGCGACGGGCGCGTGTGTGCAGACGCTCGAGGGCCATAGCGGTATGGTAAGCTCGCTAGCCTTCTCGGCGGATGGCCAGCGGCTCGCCTTGGGTTCGGACAATAATACAATCGAGACCTGGGATACGGCAACGGGTGCGTGCGTGCAGAAGCTCGAGGGCCATGGAGATGGGGTGAGCTCGCTAACCTTCTCGGCGGATGGCCAGCGGCTCGCCTCAGGCTCGGACGATGGCACGGTTAAGGTCTGGGATGCAGCGACGGGCGCGTGCGTGCAGACGCTCGAGGGCCATGGAGATTGGGTGAGCTCGGTGGCCTTCTCAGCGGATGGCCAGCGGCTCGCCTCGAGCTCGTGGGATAAGACGGTCAAGGTCTGGGATGCAGCGACGGGCGCATGCGTGCAGACGCTCGAGATTGACCTGGTGGTTACTCACCTTTCATTTGATCCGATGACAAACTCTCTCCTCTCTACCGACATTAGATTTCTGAACCTGGATCTCCCGGCTCTACCGCCTGCCATCGATAATCAGTCGACTGACGCCATCTTATGGGGTTTTTGCCACTCTGACTGGGGTATAAGTACCGACGGTGTATGGATTGTAAAAGATGGAAAGCGGATGCTTTGGCTACCTCCAGACTATCGAATGATGGCAAAGGCTCAGGTGGGATCAACGGTCGCTATCGGCTGCCGTTCAGGCCGTGTACTGGTGATGAAGTTCTCTTAGAGCCGAGGCAGGCATAATTCCCTCATTGGTTACAAGCAGCCCTTTTCCGGTTCTCAGTAGCGACCTACGTAGTTGGTTATGTTTGATTTGGAAGCAGGAAGCCCGGCTAATATCTAGCGTCGGGAGTCTCATGATCTATAGATTCTTTTATATTGGAAAGCATCGGCTATTCTATAGATAGAGTTTTCGTTTGGTTAATGCTTTATTTTACGTTGAGATAGAGGCTGACGGCTGCGGATAAATAAATCTTGCTAGTCGGATGGCTCCCTTTTCCTGGCCGTCCGGGGCGCCCATTCCGGTCCCGAGCGGAGAGCGGTTGTTCCAATTCGACCCTTTTTATCCACGTAGGAAGGCGCACTTCTGATACTTCTACGAGGTGGAGACCGTCTGCAATTCTTCTCGGGGGCAGAGGGCCCAATCTCCAAGAAAGACAAGATATTGGTCTTTGAAGCAGTCGATAGCTGGGCCCATCCGCATATGGCACCTGTACAAGACCTTGCTGGCTACGTAGCTTGCGGCCCCACGTCTGCTACATTAAGCCATTCACTCAAACTTCATCACTTAAGCCTAGATATGCAGCATGGCAGACTATTATTAGACTCGCAATCCCGCCCTTACACTTCAATCAAGAGCTGAGATATAAATAGATTTTTAACTTACGTATAAGCAGTCTCCAAGAGGGTAAGATAGCGGCTCGCTCTCTCAGTAACGTAACGACCTACTTTGAAGCTATAAGTCGTAGTTTACACTCACGCGGAAAATGATAAAGGAGTAGCGTTTCATTACAGCGTGACAGGAATCGTGGGGAGCAGCTCCCCTTAACAGATAGTCCCAGGGCTATTGCTCAGATACGGCATCTCGATTGATGGTGACTGCCACTCCATTCCTTATAGATATTTACCCCAAGTTGCGTTACCATGTCATTTGATGCGTATATGCAAACCATCCCACTCAAAGAACATCGCATGCTCCGCCCACCCGGTCTCGTCCTACCATGCTCATCGCTTCACGAGAAGCCTTTCGAGAAGGTAGAAGTCGTGCCGTCGTAAACCAGCTCCTCAAGAAGCAGTTCGTCTAACCAGGCACCTTCGTATAAATCCTCTGGTCCATTAGGGCTGGCGGCCTCTTGAGAAGGAGCTGATGAGTGATTATCTTTCTCATCATGGGGTAGAGGTTCCTTTAGTGGCGAAATTGGGTTTTGTTGATCCGTGTTTTGTGCGGATGTGCAGGCTTGAGCTACTGTGGTTGTCTTGAGGCTCTCAGCTACTGCTGCGGAGTTGTCTCGTCTGTAATTCTCAAGATAGTTAGATCACATGGTTACAGGTCTTTTTGCCAACTTAATTTACCTGCGCTGACATTTCTCCGATATTTTAACGCCCAGAATGAGAGTAGTGATGACGATGGCTCACTAATAGTAAAGAGCAAATATATTATCCAAAAGATAGATATCCATAAGACTACACAGCTCTACCTATCCGTCACTTCAAACGAAGCCACTTCTTGATAGCCCCTTCATCATCTAATGCCTCTCCATTCATCAAACTATTAATAGAGCTTTCATCCAAGATCCAATAGCCCTCAGCAGCAGCACCACCAAAGATCTTTGCTGATTGGGAAATGGTCAACATGCAGTAAATACCATAGGCCACATTAGTGACGGAAGATATATTTGCAGTACTTACACAGTTACTGTTACTTTGTGAAACGAAATGTGGCTTTATGCCGTGCTACTACTTTCTCCCTGACGAATCGGCGCCCATCTTATAAGCTGGCAGTGATGTAATTAATCGGGGCGATTAATTAGCGATTCAATGAATCTGAATCCTAGGCTAGGATTAATTATCTGAATCAAGGTCGGCCAGGATTAATTAAGTTTCGATGATTAATTAAAGTGGAGGCAGAAAACCAGATCTAGATGTTTCATGTGGCTTTCCTGCCTGCTGGTGCCTTGTTACATGCGCACGTGGCTCATTTGGTGTCTATTGTCTATTGTTGCCTAGTCTGGCTGTGTATATATTAAATAGCAGTCATCGTTCCAAACTATTAGCTAGGCGAGTTGACTATCTATCAGTCATCCAATCGAACAGAACGAGATACTACGAGGTAGGCCGTCAGTGAGCTCTCTATCCACTAATTGTTGCGTGGAACAGGCATCTGGAAAGATTTCTCAATATTCTGCTCGAGTTGTCTCCAGATATCAACCACATCTGATAACGCCGACACTAGAGCGTCTTCGACATGGACCTTAGATATACTTGTCAACATATCCTAGCACTATATAGCTTAAAAAAAAAGAAGGAAGGAAGATGAAAACTCTAAAAAAAACTCTAGCTACAGAGGTTATTAATTATGAATTGATAACCAACTGCTTGTGAGAGCCTTTATATCAAGTCCTTCGAACTTTTATATAACGTACATGATAAGCGGGTGCAACAGACAAGCGAGTGCAACACAACATCCCAACATCTCAGATAGAAATAGCCATAAAAACACAACAGACTATTAATTAAGTAAAATTAATCGCTATATTCTTCCAGAGACATAGCGACAACTATCTGACAGGTCCTTGCATTATGTCCTGTCTTGCCGCATGCTCCACACCGCCTTTCCTTCAATCGCGCAGGCCCTCCTTGACCACCACTTCTCGATAGTCCAGCCACCGCCTGCGCATTAGCATCCGTTTGATCAATTACTTGCCTTCCTTCCTCTACTGTCATCACTCCTCCTTTCTGTAGCCGGGTTCTTTTTGCCCTCCGCCGCCGGCTTAGTATCTCATTTGCCTGTTCAAGATCTTGGACCCTGGCCTCTAATAAGGCAACCTTATGCATAACTATCTTTGTTCCCTTGGAAGAAGACCTCAATGCTTCTAGAATTGACTCTGGAGAGCTACTTTTATGCCTTTTGATTCTCCTTTCAAGATATTCAAGCTGAGAGTCGGCTTCAAGGATAGTCTTTGGGGTCTTTGAGACCCAAGGGGCCGAGGGGCTAACTACCTCCTCCGCAGGCGTCGGAGTCCGCAGCTGCACATCGAGCTTCGAGATTACACTTTCTGGGTCAAGAGGAGCAATTCCGGCTCCTCTAAAGGCTCCTTTAATATTTTTCTCTGTCATTGTGGCCTGGTAGGCGGTGTAAAAAGCCGGGAAGAACTCGGTTTTGGAAATGTGGGTTACAGAGCATCTGATCAAATGCTCTATCTCTCGCCCGTAAGCCTTCTTAAGCAGGCCAAAGCACCCGACATCAAGAGGCTGCAGCAGATGAGACGAATGAGGCGGCATACAAAGCGTGATGATTTTATTTGCCTTGCAATATCTCTCAAAGTCGACTGAGTGGTGACTTTCGTGTCCGTCGAGGATCAGGAGACGATAGCGATTCTTTGATTGCTTGGTAGTACACCGGTCGAAGTGCTTTAGCCACTCGAGGCCTATCTCGTTATCTGTCCAGCCATTAGGACTCGTCGCGATAGCCCAATCGCCCGGGACGTTGCTTTCTCGGTACCAGTTGGCGAGGTGATATTGGCCCGCACCTATGATGAACGGCGGGATCGCTTGGCCCTCGGCATTGATCGCCTGAATGACTGTAATCCATTCCCGGTTTCCAGGCTGCACTGCTTTTGGTCTTCCACGCCTTTCAGCACCTGTGACGACCATCCCGCTCGCAATGACGCCCATCATAAAGCCAGTCTCGTCAAAGTTATAGATTTCATCAGGTCGGATGCCATACTTGGCGATTACATTCGCTAAGAGCCTAAACCAGTTGCGAATAATGGTTGGATCTTCACATTTGGCTCTCTGGTAGTCATATTTACGGAAAAAATGCGTCTTGAGGTCTTTGTGTCGCTTGACGAAGTTAGAGGCCCAGCGCTTGCCTACAGGCGGCATCTCACGGTCAGCGAGCAATCGGTTAGCCATCTCCTCAACACAATGCAGTCGCGGGGGGAACCCTCGCGAATCCAGATCGAGAATGAACTGAACTATGATCTGTTCCTCTAGATCAGATAGTTTACGTGATTTTGGGATGGAATCATGCGTAGAAAGGATACCCTTCTGTCGGCGATGTAAAGTCCAATAACGGACCTGGTAAATGCCTGCGGCGCGTCGGAGACTTAATTTTGGGTCATTTTGAAGGGCACGAAGTGCAAGAAGGATCCTAGCCTCAACATTTGGGTCTGACATATTTGGTGGTTGAAAATTAATTGGTTAAGTTGAGAAGAGGTAAATTGCGGGATTTTTTGTTGCACTCGCTTGTCTGTTGCACCCGCTTATCATGTACGTTACAGAAATTTCATCCTTTCTACCATTTGTTATCTATTATAACATCATATACAAACCGACTCAACCTAGACACATAATGTAAAGTAAAACTGATTAGCATAATATAAAACCACATAGTAGGACCTTGACACTTGCCCTGCTCATATTTCCATAAGTTCTCTTAGCTGGTTGTCAGTATATTCGTCTTGGAAGTTGCTGACCTCGTCGTCGGCCCCAAGCATTGCAGCCAATCAGAATTTAGCGGTCAAGATGTGGCCGTTTTTGGATATGTGGGGCACTCATTCAGCCAATCATGAATTTCGTGGTCAAGATCCATCCATTTTCAGAAGCGTATCGCCGCTAATTCATATAGAGCCTAGCGCAGCATTCTAAAAAACTAAACCGTAAGGGAGGGAGGGAGACTTGTTAGTTGTCCTTCAATGTCTGTGTGAGTTTCTTGTCGGCCATGTTGTTGCATGAGTTAGAACATCAGAATACGAATCCGCCCAGGCTAATACTCTACTCCCTGCGTTATAAGAGAGTAGATATCTATATTGCAGGTATAATGACTGTAGCTAATCTAGCCCGCCATATAAGAGGTATTCTCATAGGTTGGGGTACCAATTAGCAGCATGCTGCTATAGCAACCGCAAAACAAATTAATCATAGGGGTATCAAGAAACAATCTCCAGCATCAACACAAAGTAACTCTTGCCACTTCATATAATAACACATACTGAAATTAATCTGGAGAGACCACCAAAACGTGGACGACCACGCAAATATGCAACAGCTAAGGACAAAGCGACAGCAGACACTCAGCGCAGACGGAACAAACGGCAGAAAGCAGCAGCTAAAGATCGAGGCTTACCCTATAGTAATTTCCATAACTTGCACAGCACCTTCCTTCACCTTCCTTTGTCATCACACTTTCTTGGCATACAAGTGTTAAGAAAGTGGCCCTGTCTACACCTAAATCCTTAACAA